AGTTCCTGATACCAATAACGAGAAAACTGAAACATTTATCTATACATGTATAATGATTATTGATATGCTTGAGCTAAATCAATTTTCTCGGTAACGAACGAAGGCCAATGACACAATTACACGAGAGGTTAATCTAATCCGTTTCCCAGGTCCCGCTAACTAGAGGAAGAAGTCCAAGGCGAAGTAGGGGAATATATATTCCGTAAGCAGCCGAGTACGAGCAAGTCATAAGGGAAAAAAACTCAAACATATATATACAGCGATAATTTCTCCTTGGGCAGCATTATAAAATAACACACTCAAAGATACAACGGACCGATAGCATTTAAGATATTCCACAAGTGGGAAATACGACTTAAAGGTGAAAAGAGCGCCTCTGACGCGAAAACAAGGAAATTCAAATTTTCAAAATAAAATTACAAAATTAAGCCATCTACCAAGTAAGTTCTGGGGATTTGACATCCCCAAAAATTATAGTTAACATAATTACATAGTCAGAAAACTTAGATAATACACTTTATTTTTCTGCTCTCATTACTCATAGGTACTTATTTCACGTGGTTTAAAAGCTAATGAATGGGTTACACATATTAGTAAAACAATGGATGGTAAAGGAGGTGGTAAAGAAAATTCAGCTCAAGCTGTTGGCAGTCGTATTGATACGTTAGATGAAGTAATTCATCTAGCTGATATATTTGCTAATACAAAGTTAACCAGCAATTAACACTGTTTATATTGTAGTTATTATTGTTATTTGTATACACATAACTACATTTATAAAATATAGGAATATATAAATGTATTTATATGATGGAAAAGTAAACAAATTTGTTTTATAAAAATATGTATGGGTGAATTAGTGACAAAGTGAACTAGTGTAAATAGTTTGTCATCATTTATATCTGATTAATTTCTTTCAAGGAATACTACCCCTAACTTAGGGTCTGGAAAGTCGGAAAAAATGAAAATTTCGCAAATGCGATGAAAATGATCTTGGTGGTCTTGTATTAGTATTCCGACACCAGACAATGGGTTTTAAGCGTTCTTAATGCCCTGTCGCTTACTACCCTATATATGTGTTGTATACAGTATATGTGAGACTGTAGGTTCGTCATTGACATTGTGGATGGTTCGGCATTGCTTTGGTAAGTTATGCTGGCTGTTCATGTGAAAAGTTGGTTTGCTGGTTAACCGATTTCATTCATACTGGTGGTTGCTTTTCAGTGGTCTTGTAGTATCGGTGTATATGTTAAGCCCATATACTTTATTCTAGTTGCTGGCCAAGCCAATTATGTTGTGAGTTCGTAGGTTGAAGTTACCAATTTTCGCTGCGCGTTCGTAAGTCGGGATCGCCAATTATGTAGTGGCCTAAATCTGATTCCTTTTTGATCGTACGTACTGTCTATCCTCGTATGTAATAAATGACTTTATCCGCGTTGGTGAATAACGGAATTAAATAAGTCAAATACGAGAATGGATTTAGAATACATATATTTCCTACACTCATTGATCTGGTCAGGGAATCAGAACGATGAAGTAAATAGATGAGGGCAGAACATAAATGACATGCAGTGGAGATGGCGGAGAAGCCAACTCGAGAGCGAAGCGAAAGATAATGCGTACTGGAGATGGCTGGGAAGCCAACTCGATTTAAGCAAGCGTTAATCAACATTTATAGTCGGATAAAAATGAATGACAGACATGTGATAGGTAGGATAAGAAGGGTACATACACATGCGCTCATATAACAAGGTAGTCAAGGTTAGTAAGCGAATAATTAACAAGATCAAAATATGACTCATAATGGATAGGCGAATTGGCTTGGCTAGCAACTAGAATAAGGTATATGGGCTTAACATATACACCGATACTACAGTCTCAAGGGCTATTGTCATTGGGCAGTGTCTAGCTTGTTTGTTAAACGGGATTGAGTTGTACTGTTTGGGTTGTCATGTGAAAGTCTGGCTCTCCTGAAAACCAATGCAAAATTACCCTGGCCCACAAGGGTATATTTTATATAACTAATAACTGTTCTTTCAAACAGACCGAATAAAATAACATGGATGCCTCACAATTTATATCTATATATCGCTTATAAATTTGTTAGTTCAAATTGTGACGAGGTTCTAAAAACACTTCAATCTATACGAACAATTTCTACTCTACTGTTAAAATATATATAAATGTAATGCATAGTACATTTGAGATGAGATAGTCAAGCCATTTCATTTATACTAACCTCTAAAATTCAAAGATAGAAAGTATTTTATTTTTAAACAGATCTATATGAAGAAGTTAAGTGAAACTTGAGAAATATGGAGATTTGAGCATCTTTCAGATGACATTTTCTTCAGAGTGTAACACTTACAAAATGATATTCCGTTGTATTGTCAAGGTCCGATTGAATAATCATTACAGTGTTCGTCTTACAGTTATGATGCTATGGGTTTGTTATGGTTGTTACGAAATTATGCAAACCAGAGGGCGTTAAGGCTTGGGGGTCTGCTTGGAGAGTTGTTCTGAAAAGGACAAATTGTAGGAATACCTGACTCCCAAGTTCATTATTGTGTGTTAGTTGGTTGACGACTTACTGTTTATGGTTAGGTCTAGGTTGAGTAAAGTATTACTAAACATGTTCATCCACATTTAGCCATGCTCAGCTCTAAAATCCATTTCGAGCACCATTACCTTGTTGAGCTCCGTACTGATGCAATTTCGCATATTGTTCAGGTCCTCAAGGGGATATGAATACACTATTTTAGAATCATCTGCATATAAAAGAAGCTTACCAATACAGAAGCGATCGTAAATATTTCTTATATAAGTTAAAAAACGAACAACCTTACGAACAATATCACTTTTGACAGGCACGGAATCCAACTATCAGTTTGTGTTGAATATTTGGTGTCGGTGACTGAGGGAAAAATTGAATCAAACATGTAGATGGTTATTTATCTTGTAAGATGTGAGTCTGTTTGTAAGACACTAATGATAGACCATGTCGAAAGCTTTAGAAATGTCAAAGTATAGCACTAATGTGATGTATGGTACATACGTCTGTCGATATAAGGAGTATGTAACACCAATCAGAAGTGAAATATATGGAAGCAGAAAACTAAGGTCGTGTCGAAAAGTGAAATAGGAAGAAATTGTGAATTAAAAGAATCATATGGAGTGTAAAGAACAATTGACAGATTATTTGCAAATGAAGTACTTAATGTATGGTTCTTATGTGACCACGACACTACAATTTGTAATAAAAAATATATTGGTTGTCCTCATCTGTTTTTGTTTACAACGCTAAAGATAGGAATCTTTGGCTATGTTGCGTGAAGACTAGTTTGGTAATGTTAGGGTGGCAGATCATTTTTATTTATTTAAACACATAAATATTGGTACAAGGAAGCACCAAATACATATGCGCAATACAAATCTCATTTCATTTGTTCGAGGGCTGTGATACTGCCCAGATGCCCAAAGTGAAGCAGGTGGTTTTCATAGGGGACCACACCCGGAGCCTTTGACCGAAATATCTGATCCACAAGGCGGTGGAGCATCGTAAGAAGATGCAGTCCCAGGGTAGCCGGTGATCAATGATTGATTCATACGCCATTCGTTTCATCAGGATACTGGAGCCCATGTGCACCATCGGTGGACTTTCCGTGTCCACCGATCCGGTTAAAGCGTCGGACATTGGCTTTTCGTCCTCTCAATTTCGTAAACAACAGTAATGCCGAGAGAAGGCAGTGAGTAGGACTTCCCTGGCAGAGGCTATATATTCGCGTGGCCATATGAGAGCATTTCGAGAGGGAGAGTGGACTCTCGGCCGTACCAGGGCATTTGGGGGCAGATCATACAGAATTGAGTTTTAGGGTAATCATGTTGGGAACCAGTGACAAGTTTTTCAGTGAACAAATAGTTGGAGAACCCGTCACCAACAGTTTTTCCTATCATCCTAGAGACAGTTGGAGTAATATTTATTAGCCAGTAGTTGCTGATTTCCATATTTGTAACGTCGTATGTATGCAACTGCGCCTATAGCCCTAATTTCTTCGATTGTTGGTGGGGTGACATCTATGGGGGTGTATGTGTGTGTTGTCTAGTCTAATTAAGAGTTCAAATGTTCTACTCGCCTGTTTAAGACCTTAAGAGATTTTATAGCATTACTAATTTTCGGATAGTAATCATGTATATGACTTTCGAACCAGTGTTATTTAGGGATTTCTGATTGTTCGCAGAAATATAATTGAAAAGGTTTTAAAGTTGTTTATGTACTATACAGGACGCATGGTATATCTTTGTTTTGAGATTCGCAATCGCTTTTATCGCAAAGAAGGATTAAGTTTTGTACTCCTCGTCAATGGTTCCTAACTTATGTTTTCCTTCAATTTAATCAAAATTCATAGTTGATTTTGCTACTGTTGTCAAGCTTCCTAATCAATTACGATAAATAACGGATATAAATGATTCGTTATGCTTCATAATCCTCTACGTTTTGAGAGGTGCACAGGAATCTAAACACGAGTTTGTGACCTGATAGAATGCGTCAGTTGCATCCACAGGACTAATACTTAATAGGTTATTTCAATCAGTATCTTACCATAATATTCATGAGATCTCAGTCAAAATGTTTATAATCCCTATAGAGTGGATTTTTGTATGGGTTGGTTATGATAGTGACAGATAGGGAGAGCACTACCATTTTATGGTCATAGCTTTCACATTGATTGTATACTCGTATATATCTAGTTAGAATATGGCAACTTAGGCAAAGCACATTTGTCTCAGGCTAAGCGCTGACTATGACGTTTCATTTCTTGATCAGTATGTCTTTTACAATTGATTATTTGAAGCAAACAGAAAAGAAGAACCTAATATCTTCGATATAATCACATCTTATGGTTTGGGCACCATTCAACATGGTTAATTCAATGGACAGAGAAAGCGTTAAATTTTGCTATAAACTACAGCTTTCGTATTGCATAACAAAAAGTAGTACACAATATTAGAAAAAACTTTTATTTTGCAAATACAGACCAAACCAAAAATGAATTACACCGTTTATTATATTAAAGAGCAAAACAAAAGGAGGTGATAGGTGAGAAAAGAAGTGATCACAGAGTACAAATGAGGGATTATCAAATTATTTAAACATACAGGCTGATTTCATTCATCATTATAAACTAACATGTAGATGATCAAAGACCATCAAGTTGTTAAGAACGATTTGATCGAATTACTAACCCTTGGTGTTCAATACCTATTTCTGTAACCTGTAAAAGATGAATAACATAGTGATGGATTTAAAAAAAATGTGTAATTGAAATCATACGATAAAATTGTGAAGCAACATGATTTCGGATTTTGGAAAACGATTTTTAAAGAAGTTAGTGTTAAGTTATATACAAGAAGACTTATTTGTCATCTACAAATTAATGTACTGGAATTTAAGTCATACCTTGTTGTTTGAGTACTATTGATACTACTCAGTTACGTAACCTGGTGCAAGTGAAGCCGTGTTTCGAATCTACGAATAACTTGTCGAAGAGGAGGATTGAGAGATGTGAGAAACTACCTAACAGTTCACAGTGATAGTTGAAGTGATGTTAATGTTCACTAAAATACATAGTGAATAGGTAATGGAACCACAAAACAAATATCTAAAACATTACTTACAGATTGAATAAATAAAATGGATGATTTGCTGCTTAACTTGATAGTTCATAAAAATTATAATTAACTGGCATGTCTCAGCTCTACTTATTCTAATTCAGAAAACTATGAATATGAGGTTAATCCATATGATGATAAGTAAAAGGAGATTTATTTCATTACCATAAAAGTGTAACAATTTTGCCTATACTGGAATTTAAAAAGTGATGGAAGTTTTTTATCATCCGTTTTTATAAGTTCTTTATTGATATTTAACAAATGATCAGGCTGGTAGCTGAAAAGCTCAATTAGAAATTAATTCTTATTAAGACATATATATAACATATTTTTTTTCCTATACCGCGTACAACTTGAGCACTCGAACGCTAGAATCCTCCAAGTTGCAAGTCAGAAGTCCAGTGGGGGAGGAATCTTATTCCAAACAGTGTCAAGTATGGTACAAAGCACTCAGGAATTCATAGTTTTTAGTAAAAACGAAATTATCATTCCAGTCATCCAATCTGTATACAGTTGTATTTAGCGCTCGTCCAATTGGGAACGTCATTCCAAAAGATGATTAGATCGGAATACCTCCGACTCTTTCTGAGCTCCTTAACCCCCCTTGAGTTATATATATATATATATATATATATATATATATAGAGAGAGAGAGAGAGAGAGAAAGTAATCTGAACTTCATATTTGCATACCCCAGTTACACGGCATAGTTGACCCTTCATCATTGGTACATAGTATGCTCCACTTAGAGGATCACGTACGGAATCCTTACCACTGAAAAAAAAAACACATGAAAAACAAAACTACAGATAACTTGTAGCAATAAATAGTGATAATTCAGAGAAAGAATTAAATTTTCATTTTCAGAGATCAGTAAATAGATGAATCAGCACACATTATTTATTTAATGAACTAAGATGTTGTCTATTGAATCGTCCAATGTTTAGATATAATCTGCTGATTCATTTCACAAGAAAGTAGGTTTTTAACATTAGATACACCACAATAAAAGTATAAGATGACAACTATTTTTAGAAAAAACTACAATAATATTTAAGTTCCTATTTGCATTCCATATGATAGTGGTCATCAATGAATAAAGATACATCTAATGACATGAAATTAATATTTTTTGTTTTCTATTTTCTTCTAACATTATTCCTCGACGTCTACTTGGATCGCTTTTGTTTCGTTAACACTGCAGTCCTTACGTTTGGATTTTCATTACACTTTATATTAATTCCTTAGTCTTTTTGCATCTCAACTCGGTGGTAGATTCTTTTCTTCACTATGTTGGTAGACATTTATACCATAGGGATTTATGCTACTCATAACTGATGATTAATAACCAACGAAGAAGAAGTAGAAAAAACGTTGACAATCAAGAATTATCTAAAGAGAAAAATGAAAAATTTTCACTAACCGATAGATAGGAGTATAAGTAGCAGCACATATATCGAAAGGATTTAAAGGATCATAACTTAATGTATGCGAATCTTCATTTGGTGTTACTGATTCACATGCTTGTAAAATTTTACGTGTTTGTTGAGCAACTTCTATGGATGGTGCCAAATCTAATAAACGTCTTGCCATAGTTGCAGCGGATCGATAATTTTTCAGTTTATACAATAAATTCAATGCTGTTCTAAGAGTTAATATAAGATGTGGTGTTTCCAAACGACAATGTGTAAAATAACATGCTAATTCAGCATTACGAATCTAATCAAATAAATAAACAAATATTTATGATAAATATTAGTGTATTGGGCTATGTGATAATTTTTATTAATAGAATTACCAATAGGTGTTAATTTATGCTTAAATGATTTTAAGTGAAGACAGCTTTGTTTTCTGAAAACATTGGAAATATTAACCAATAATAATATCAGTTTAAATATTTACCACTAACAAACTCTTTGAATGCCTCCAAGTGTCCTGGTACGGCCGAGAGTGGGGAGAGTCCACTCTCCCTTTCGAAATACTCTCATATGACCACGCATATATAGCCTTTGCCAGAGAAGTCCTACTCGCTGCCTTCTCTCAGCATTACTGTTGTTTACGAAATTGAGAGGACGAAAAGCCAATGTCCAACGCTTTAACCGGGTTGATGGACACGGAAAGTCCACCTATGGAAGTCGGAAAACCCTGATTCCAAACCAATGGTGCACATGGGCTCCAGTATCCTGATGGAACGAATGGCGTATGAATCAATCGTTGATCACCGGTTACCATAGGACTGTATCTTCTTACGATGTTCCGCTGCCTTGTGGATCAGATCTTTAAGTCAAAGGCTCCGGGTGTGGTCCCCTATGAAAACCACCTGCTTCAGTTTGGGCAGTATCACAGTCCTCACACAAATCTTATTTGATTTGTATGGCGCATATGTATCTGGTGCTTCCTTGTACCAATATTTATGTGTTTAAATAAATAAATGAAACTCCTTGAATAACTTGAGAAATGTTTCATTTTGTGAGTTGAATGAAAATCTAGCTCAAATACTTATATAATTTGAACATCGTAAACACACTAAGCATAACTATTCAAAAGTGTATAAAATACATAGTTTACAAAAAAAAACAACCTTATACTGTGAAATGTATTCCGACTTACCTGTTCAGCTATTGTATCCTTTGGCATAGATTTACGTGTCATTTCCATGGATAAACCCACAATATATTCTCTACAAATATTGATTAAACTACGAGCTTCTGATTCTTCCGATGGTGAATCAACTACCAATAATGGAATAGATAATAAAATCATTCGAAAACGATTAATAGCATCTTGAAATTTCCCTTTAGTTGTTAATTGATATGCTGTTTGTAGACGAGTTATTAAGTCATTTAGACTTATTACAGGAGCTGGTAAAGCAGATGTCGATGAAACCTTTTTCCTAGTAAACACATTGATATAAATATATTTTAAAATTACAAAAAGAATTAAAGTAATGTGATTAAAATTAAAGCTATGAACTTAAAGAATACAAACATTATAAGCAAAGATGATGATGGTTAGCAGTGAAATCAAAGACGTGCGTTTCGTCCTACTTAGGACTCGTCAGCCAGAAGTACCTACATAGGAGTCAATGTCAACTCCTGGACCCAGTACCGTTCGCTTCAAACACCATAGCTACTGAGTCCAGATAGCCGCTATCTTAAATGACCTGGTGAAGCTTTAATTCATTTTTGCATTGGTTATTTGAATCTTCTTATTGACGTTTAGGATTGCAAATGATCAGTGTCTTATTGGCATATGTGCAAAAAACCAATACAAAGGTGAATTAAAGAATACAAGTTTGAATTATAGTGATAAACTATTACGGTTACATAATACATACAGATTAAGAACAAAATGCCTAAAAAATATTCTTATAAAATTTCAAATGACGATAGAAGCTATTTTCCATTAATAAACGCATTAATTAGGCAAATTAATGATGTCGGCTCAATGGTCTACAGGTTAAGCGGCCGCGTGGGAAACCAAAAGTTCTGAGTTTGAGTCCCGCATGAGGTGTGTAGATACGCACTTCAGAGGAGTCCCATGCTAGGACGAAACGGCCGTTCAGTGCTTCCAGGTTTTCAATGGTGGTCTAGCTTAAATCGACTCGTGAATATAACTGTGAATTAATGATAAATGTAAATAAAGCCTTAGTATTTGATACATGTATACATATGTAAGAATTTGTATTTGAACAGAAGTCATTCACAAAACTTATTTTTATACATTCCATTTAATATATTGTGAATATGATAAAACATTTTCACACTGGCTATGGAAAACAATTATCTATACTAATTCACTGAAGTATTTGAACATCCAACGATGAATATTGAAAACTGTAGAGAAATAAAACAATCATATACAAAATAGATAAATTAATAAATAAGTGGAATGAATAAATTTACCAGTTGCGTTGAGGATATGCAAACTGTGATGGTACCAATGGTAAAGCCATACACATTATACGAGATGCACTGAACAAATTCATAAAAATTGTTTTATACGGTTCAAAGTTGACAACTCCAACCTGAAAATTGATAGGTTACTTTAATTATTCTTATTTTATTATGTGAAAAAAAAGATGAAATAACAAAAGAAGCAGAATGTTATCACCAAAAATGTTATAAATACGGAAAACACTTGATGGCATATGCATGAATACCGACTAGTTGTTTAATGCCATGAAATATCTTCGCCTGTACTAAACTAACATGGACATTTGTGGACATACATTCAATTAAGAAAATGTTGAAATTTTGGACAGTGGGAATATAAAGAAGGCTGAAGAATCTTTAGAGGCTTGGGATTCAGTTTAATCAGAAATCAATAGACACAAGGAAATCGATCAAATTTATCAGCCAATTAGAAAAATTATGGACAAATATACGATTAAAAATCAAGTCAAAAGGAGAGACAATTTAAATCAATATGCAGATAGTGATAGGAACAACGTTAACAATAATCAATTAAGATCAGGATAGACAGGACAAACTGTCAGTCATGCGTGTAGAACAGTTTGTTTCTACCGGAAATCTGTGGAGATATTGTTCAGAGGAATAGTGAAAGCTTGACAATCAATTATCCAGCTTAGAGAACGAAACTACACGAAAAATTAATCAAACAATCCCATTTAATATTTTTTTTCATTAACTAACTAGTTAAAAATTTATGTAATAAGTTACAGCCATTGTGTGAGATGTGAATCGGTGGTCAGATGGTTACATGTTCATTTTCTACAGGGTTAGTTGCATAAGAGAATTTTCATATAAACATGATATGGTAACAAGTATCCATGGATTAAGCTTTCCAAAGAACGTTTCTCCTACGATTAAAGAATGAAAATGAATAAAATGACCATTTAAGTTATCACAATTCAAGAAGAAACATAAGCTATGCGGAGCTGTTAGGATTAGTCCCCCCAAAACCAGATTATTAAATAGGTTGTTAACTTTCGTGTCAACAAAGCCTCATGACTGAAAACCAAATACACTCCTTAAATTTTGTTTCGTTTGTATTGTTTGATTGTAAATACTAATCTTTTCTTATTTGTGCGTAGTAATTTTTCGATATAAAGTAAATGAGGTAGATTTGTTCTCATATCAGTATTATAGCTTAATCATTCCGTCTTCATTATGAAATATATATCACGGATAAGACTAACACCATAATGGAAAGCAATTGGAAGTCAGGAAATAGCAGTAGTATATATAATACTGTGCTTAATAATTAGCGCGATATAAACAGTTAATACATTGCCATAAAAAAAAAAGGTAATATCACAAAATTTGAATTACTAGCTTTTATTATTCCACAAAGCTTATTCAACAGACGTTAATTGATACATATTTCTTATCATAGTTGAAAGCGTGAGTCAATTGAAGCTAGACCACCATGGAAAACCTGGAAACACTGGACGGCCGTTTCGTCCTATTATGGGACTCCTCAGCAGTGCGCATCCACGAACCTGCTCTCGCCGTCCAGTGTTTCCAGGTTTTCCATGGTGGTCTAGCTTCAATTGACTCACGCTTTCAACTATGATAAATACTAAATCTCCACAAAACCCCTTCTACATATTTCTTAAAAAAATTTAGTTATTCGATTAAATGAAGTAATAATCATCTTCTGTTTAGTTCAGTAAGAAACTTTTAAACTAGCCTGCTTCAAAAATTGTTGAATAAATGGTCACTCTTTATAAGCACATAAGATATTTCAGATGGCTCTACAGTCTTCTTATTTATTCTGGAATCAATAATTACCTTTTATTTGTTAGTGTTGTGGTGTATGCTACTTATGTCTGTCGACATAAGTATTATGTAGCAAATCAAAAGTGGAATACCTGGCAGCAGAAGTTTGAGAAGATGGAATAGAAGGGAACAGGAATGTAAACACAGAGTAATTGAGATAACAACAGGAATGAAGGAACGATGAAGTTTTTAAGAGACAATAGATGGAAGACGTGCAAATGAAGTATTTAATATGTGGTTTTCACATTTCAAGGAAGAATACATTAATTGTACCCACACCTCAGTGTTCGTTCACTACAATGTTGGTAGGATATAGATTAGACTACAAGATTATGTTGGAGGACACTGATTAACCCGTTCATAATCAATCAGCGCTAGCGGATAATTGGAGAGGGTTCTATAATTTTCTTGTGTAAAATTATAAACATACTAACGTTTGTTTTTCTGTGATTCACTGCCATTCAACTTGGTTTACTTGGAATACAATTACGTACCTAACCAAGCCGTGTTCTGATTTAGAGGACTAGTAGAGTAAAGTAGTGTCCGAAGAATGCTTATCAATAAGAGTAGTTGAGTCGGTTAACGAAAGACCTAATAGTTATTGACCTAGAAAAAGCACATTATATTCAACTAGACAGTTGAAATATTCAAGTTTCTGAGTGTTTGTAAACAAAAAAAACATTAAGGGTATCGTTTTTTTGAAGAAAAAAACTTTAAACACAAGGGAATATAATTTAACAAAACATAAAAACGAAAACAATAAAATTTACCTGAGCATTGAGTAGACGCATTGCGTTGATCCAATTTCCCGCCATAATTTGGTCAGCTGGTAAATTAGAATTTTCACTCCACAAATAACTATTAGGTCGACCAGGTGATGGAGCAACATATGTATTCTCATTTTTATTTGTTAAAACTGTACTGGAATTTTGAATATCAGATGGCAACTCTAAATCAGCATCATTAATATCCCAACCACCATCCTCTGGATTTTTATCACCAGTTTCATTTGTATTTACTGTATCACCACCAATATCTAATTCATCATCGAGTTCATTTGGTTCTAATAATAAAAATAAGGATTTTTAGATATTGATCGTTGTGACGAAACTTTTGACCATGAATCATAACCACTATGGGGTTTTGTATAGATTACAGAATTTTCATAGTTCCTAAGTCACGAGAAGTGATCTTGATTAGACTAAGATTGAAAACCTAGAAGCGATCGACAGCAACTTTGTCTTAGTATGCACACCCCTCAGCAGTGAGCATCCACGAACCCACTATATGGTATTGAGTCCTAAATTATAGACCCCTAAGCCTGTATTCACTGGCGTAGATGTCGAGCTTTGACGAATCCACGATATTTTGCGGCCATCTACCACTGCCTGAGTTGGATAACTGTCTCACACCTGACATAGTTGAACTTTACTTGTCACAGATCACTAGTACTCTAGGAGTTTTACTCTGAAGCTAGCCCACTGCTTACTGGTGATGGTCTAGTCAAGACCATTTCGTGACTTAGAAACTATGAAAATGAATTAGGAATAAAATTAATAATAATTCTAACTTAGTAAAGACGATTCGAAGCTAACAAATATTTTTCTGTTCTATATTGACAAAGTCATTCGAAAGCGTCATAAAATTTATTGGATAGCAGTTAATAGCAGAATTCAGAATGTGTATTTTAGTGCAGTTGAAACTAGTTTGGTGGTTTGATATTCATAATAAGACTCGAACTAAATAATTACCGCTTCAAATACTAATACATTATCTAATAAGATCAGTCAGTCAGCTACAACGTGGGACCAGGCACATTTATGCTTCCAATAAGATACACATTTACAATGGTCACCAACATGTTTGAATAACCCATATGGTAATAGAGACTGAAAAAAATTATTTCTAAACGTGGACAACAGAAAAACATAAAATCTTTAGAGAAATAGTAACATCTACAACGTGGATAGGAGGAATTTATAGAAACTTCTTCGACACTATGGAAATCCTGAGAAGATTGTCATTATTATTCAGAACTCGTACGACGGACTACAGTGCAAAGTCGTGCATGGAGTACAGCTGACAGATGCATTGCAAGTAAGGACCGGAGTCAGACAAGGCTGTCTACTCTCTTTCTTCTGGTGATTGACCGGATTATGAAAGCCTCGACATCTGAGGGGAAGCACGCAATACAACGGACATTTCAGAATCAATTAGACGATTTGGACTTCGAAGATGACCTAGCCCTTCTATCACATACACGCGAACAAATACAGACGAAGACAACTAATGTAGCAGCAGCCTCTGAATCAATAGGCCTCAACATGCACAAAGGAAAAAACAAGATCCTCAAATACAACATGGAGAACGCCAAGCCAATCACACTTGATGGAGAAACTCTGGAAACATTCACGTATCTGGGACGCATCATTGATGAACAAGGAGGATCTGATGCAGATGTAAATGCGAAGATTGGCAAGGTAAGGACCATATTCCTACAATTGAAGAACAACTTGAACTAAAAACAACTGTCATCCAATATCAAAGTCAGAATCTTCAATACGAACGTCAAAACAGTCCTACTGTACGGAGCTGAAACGTGGAGAACAAATACATCCATCGTCAAGAAAGTACAAGTATTTATAGACAGTTGTTTACGCAAAATACTCAACATTCACTGGCCAGATACTATCAGCAACAGCGTTTTATGGGAGAGGACAAACCAGCTTCCAGCTGAAGAGGAAATTAAGAAAAGACGTTGGAAGTGGATCGGACATACATTAAGGAAATCACCAAACTGCATCACGAAACAAGCCCCAACCTGGAATCCTGAAGGGAAGCGGAAAAGAGGACGGGCAAAGAACACATTACGCCAGGAAATAAAAAGGATGGATAGCAACTGGAAAGGATTGCCCAGGACAGGCTTGGATGGGGAGTGTTGGTGGGCGGTCTATGCTCCACCAAGAGGGGTGACAGGCGTAAGTAAGTAATATACTGAAACTTTTCATGTATATCGATTTTAATAAGAGACCCTCTTTCTCATATGAAACAAATAATGTAAAAAGTAATCGTGGCTGTAATCAATCTGAGACACAATACGCCTCTGTTCTTGAATCTCCGTTCCTTCTTTATCCTTGACAGGTCTTTCCGGTTTACTATATCTCCCTGGTAGTTTCTTCGTTGTATCATATAGTTGTTTCGTGTCCCCTTCTCTAGCAGCTTTTTCCGCCGTCGTTGCTAGTTCTCCCATGTATTTCTGCTTGTCGGATTTAATGTTCTTCTTCACTTGTTTGTTTGCTTCTGCGTAATCTGTTTGTGCCCTGACTTTCCCTGCTCATGTTCGACTGTTGTTAACTGCTGTCTTCTTGTTCTTCCTTTTTTTACAATTTTTCCAGGGTCCCCATATAGATCCATTCCTTATGATGCTTCTTGAGACCCAGAACCTCCTGACACGTTGAAGTTAATGCTTCTTTGATCCCTTTCCAGTTGTCCTCCATAGTAGTTTCTTCTTTCAGTGGATCCTGTAGAGCTTAGAACCTGTTGTTGAGAGTTATCTTGAATTGGTTGAGTTTGCTAGTATCTCAAAGGAAGGCTGTATTGAACCTTTGTAATGGTGTCCCACCAGTTGTCCAGTGTTTCTCTAGCTCCAGTTTCATCTTCGCCACAACCAGGTGGAGTTTCAGTATATAGCACAATGTAAGTTGAGTAACTTTCAGAACACTTCTTGTCTTGATTACATGACAATTCAATAAACAGAAAACTATTGGTTTGATGCAGTCTAGAGTAAAGAAAGACTAGTGAAATCAATAAAATTACGAAAAAAAACACAAAACTAACATGATAAATTAAATTTACCATCAATTTCAAGATTTGCATCTTTTCCCCAAGCGCCTTCAGGTACATCTTCTGTATCTAAAAGTAAACTGGCTGATGCCACAGAAGTACCAATTAGTTTGCTATCTTGTTCATCATTTTTATTATTTGACTTTAATGCAGCATTTCGACGTTGAGCTATTGCTGTTTCAAAGAAATCTAATTGTATACTTAGAAGAGGCCAATCAGTTTCTGAAGGTTTTCCATCAGTAATTTTATCAGCTCGAAGAATAGGCGGTGATGGTATTATTAAGCTGGCATTTGAATCGATTTCCGGTACAAAAGAAACATTTGAATCACCTGGTACAGATTGTAACGATAATGCAGTGAGCTGTTCCTCCAACTCTTTGGTTTCCTGTTGAAGACCATGTGTAGCAGAGGTAAGATAGGCAAGTGGTTCTATAGAAAAACAAATATTTTCATTAACTAAATAACATTGCGTATAAAACTAATAGAACACATGTGCCCACTTTCTTTTTTCTTGTCTCTTACACGTACACATATTACATCTACATATTCACCAACTTAATACATGACCTGTACAGTTAACCAAATCGTGAGTGAGGTATTACATTAGTTTTTAAAAGGTTGATTAAAAAGAAGTCATTAAGTTTAGAGCATATTGTGACACGAGGCTATGATATGATAGATGTCGTACAGGACAGCTATCCATCGGTTCGTCACAAATCTCTGGTTGAGGTTCTAGAAATGGTGCAACTCGCTGACTTGAGATGCTACCAGACGTGGCTTAAAATAGAAGCTAATGACGACCATGCTGTCATAAAAAAGAAAGTAACTGCCTCAACTGAAAGAAAAATTTCCTTAATTGTATCTACAATTAAGTATCATTCTTGTTCACTTATCTTTTTGACTGTACTCTTTCAAGTTTGATTTATTCGATTGTTGTTTTGTATAGTGCATACTCTTTTTAGTACACAGTTATATCAGAATATATGTGCATTAAATAAAAGTGTTAAGAAGTTTCATTGACTGTGAAGTAAAGAGGTTTAGTTAGTGCTATATATACACGACCAAATCAAACAATAAGGAATCATTTATAAGAAAAGAATATTAATTCATGACTTTCCAAAATTCTTACGCTCCATGATTAATTAAAGTCGAATGAGTAAATGAAAACAATCTGGATATTTCATCAAAGTCATGAACTGATCTAACTTAAACCATTAAAACGTGGATGGTACTGGACGGACAGTCTGTCCCAGTATGGGACGTCTCACCAACAAGCATCCGAAACGCCACATGCGGAAATCGAACCCAAAATCTTCGGTCATGCACCCTGAGCCTATAGATCACAACAACTTTAACATGAAATCCTTTATACTTTGAAAATCGACAAATGTGTTTATTTCAGTTTTTCAATATATGTTTTGAGTAGTTCACTGATGAATACTGTGAATAAGATGTGGTCTTCTGACGTTTTGTAGCATGATACTATTAGTTTAGTTTATTGCTTACATTGAAAAAAATTTTGGAAAGTTTTCTAGAATTTATTACTTACTCTGTCCACAATTACGTAGTAGTTTTACACGTTCAGCAACATCACCCAAAAGTAATGCAATATGATAATGACTTGATGTGTCTTTTCGAATTTCAGCTACAAAAGACAAAAGAAAAGGATTTGTTACAAAAAAGTCTTTTATTCATTCCACGGATAAAATGTCTTCAAATGCCCTGGTATAGCCAAGGGTGAGGAGAAACCACTATCCCTCTCGGAATGCTCTCACATATAGCCGCGTGTATTTAGCCACTGCCAGGGAAGTCCTACTGACTACTTTCTCGATGCTGGGGTGTTGCCCACGAAATTGAGAGGACGAAAAGAGAGTATCGACGCTTTAGCTAGTTTGGTAGGTACGGAAGATCCACCCAGGGGAGTTGGAGAACCCTGAGTGCATATGGGCCTCAAAGCTTATGTGTTAAAATAATAATCATACTGATAAAACAAACAAGTTTGAAGGTAAGTAATATCAACTATTAGCGCTCAACTGGATAGAGTAGGTTTAGCCTTACTACAATATCACTATTATGAAATGAGCTCCCTCAAGAGTAAAAAAGTAAAGTAGTGGTTATTGTAAGCAGTGTTTATTATAAAAGGATGAAGGAAAACCAAAAAAATAAGCAGACGATAAACTACCATAAAAAGTACTGTAAATTCAACTGATCATTTACTCATTATTAAATATAGTTAACTGATAACAACAGGGAAAATACATTCATTTAACAATTAAAGTTTAGGAATAGAGCAGCTGAAATAAAACTCTAATCCATCTGACACCCCCCCCAACCTTGATATTTCATAGCATCGCTACTGTGGATGGATGAGTGTAGGAAAAATAAAAATACCAATCGAATAGTAACCAAACAGGAAATCAATCTATGAATTAAAGTTATTTTTCAATAGGCGTTTTATGTACAAAGCAGTAATAATTAGATAATTCAAAATTAATTTTCACATTTACACTACCTACCTACCTACGAAAGTTTTGTTACAAATAGTTAACTGTAGAATGCAACCATTTCAATTTAAGATTATTATTAAAACTTAGTATTCATTAGTGAATATGTGTGTGTAATAGAAGAATCAAGAAATACAACATAAAAATCTCAACTTACCAATTTTCATCATTTTTCTTAATTTTTCCAAATTTCCAGTAATCAAATATAGGAATGTGAGTTTATCAAAATTTTTAACTCGTTGATAAGTCATTTCCACTAATTGTAGTTTACCTTGTTTCAAAGCTAATTCACCAAGTCTTTCCCAGCAAGCTTTATCATCCAATGCTTGAGCAGCTTCTAAGCCAACATCTAATTGACCACAATCCATAGCTAATGAAAATCTTGTTCGTGTATCTTTGACAAAATGTAGTGCGACTTCTGGATAACCTTTCTTTTCTAAGTAACCAATTATAGCTTGCCCGACAAGATTTGAATTACGAACCATATGAAGAACCTATGAATAGGAAATTTTCTCAATAATTCAATAATGAAACATAGAATTTATTGGATAAACTGTTATATTGACGTACTTAAATATATTGAATACATGACAAGATTTACAATAAAGAGAGACTTGAAACTATGGCATGTAGATAGAACAAAACAACGGCAAGGAGATGACATCTTTCGTTTAATTACTGATTAAGGTTCAAAATGGTGAAACTAGGTAATTTCTGAGTTAGTAGATAGGAATTTTTGTCGCCTATTTAATGTGTACTGTGAGCCTGGATGAATAATGGTTCAATATTGTTATATAAAGGAAGCATTTCAGAGCATATTATCTAAACCTTCGTGAAATATGTCCAATTTATAAAATTTGTTTTATTTTATTTGAACACATAAATACAAAGGAGCACCAGATACATATGCGCCACACAAGTCTTATTTTATTTGTGTGAGGACTGTGATACTGCCCAGGTGCCCAAACCGAAGCAGGTGGTTTTCTCAGGAGGTCACACACAGAGTCTTCGACCCAAAGATCTGATCCACAAGGCAGTGGAGCATCGTGAGGAGATGCAGTCCCAAGGTAGCCGGTGATCAATGATTGATTCATACGCCATTTGTTCCTTCAGGATACTGGAGCCCATGTGCACCATTGGTTTGGAATCAGGGTTTTCCGACTTCCATAGGTGGACTTTCCGTGTCCACCGACCCGGTTAAAGCGTCGGACATTGGCTTTTCGTCCTCTCAATTTCGTAAACAACAGTAATGCCACGAGAAGGCAGCGAGTAGGACTTCCCTGGCAGAGGCTATATTTGCGTGATCATATGAGAGTATTTCGAAAGGGAGAGTGGACTCTCCCCACTCTCGGCCGTACCAGGGCATTTGGGGGCCAAAAGCATAATAAAATAATAAAAAAATTATTGCTTGATAGTTTGAGTTAAAAGTTAGTATTAGCTAGACAACTATAAAGAACGAGAGAGAGTCATAGACATTCATCTTCGTCTATAAGCGTTAAATATACTATTCTGATAATTTATAATTTACGCCTACAAGCAGGATTCTGTTTACTTACAGATTCCGAAGAATTGGTACAGAGTAAATCACATTAATTGATGTATCGATTTTTAAATGGTTTCTCTAGTTAACTCAAATAAAAAATATTAAATAGATATGACTTAACACATGATTACTCACTTCCTCATAGCGACGATTAACTAGAGCTAATTTGAAACGAAACTCTGTAGGATCTATGGTGAATACAAGTGGTGAACAATCTCTATCTATACAATATACTGAATTGCCACGAACTCGTGTAATGTAAACAGGTAATTCAAGTGTTCGAATTATTCCATAATCGCTAATGTTAAAAATAAAAATAATAATAATGTGAGTTCAATTATTCTAATGCAATATTAAATGATATAGTTTAACGATTGCTACCTTCCAATTTAGTAAAAATATAGAAATGTCTTGGAAAATAAAACAACCATTTTTAGTTAGAATAATAACAATATTACCATTAGATGACAGTTATTCTAAACTTACTACTAAGTTTGTGAGAATCATTTCAAACAAAGTTGGAAGTTCCACAAATTTGCTAAGACAAATGGAATTTTTAACTGATAAAGAGGTTGAATTGACTTTTAAGCCCACTGAAACACTTATGAAAGTCTAGATGTGCTTATGTACATCAGTCTATGGAAGTGCAAAGTGTAAGATAAGGTCTCCACTAATACAGTTACCTTAGAATGACAAAGTTTAATGTTATTAGATCTAATTACATATTTATCTCGGGATGAGAATAAAGGTTTCCAGAAAGAAAAAAATCAAGCTAATACCAAACACTGCTGAAGGATGTTAGATCTCCAGAAATGGCTTCGTAAACTCATTTCTGTATTTTATTATAGAGATTTGAATTTCTCATATATATATATATATATATATATATATATATATATATATATATATATATTTCCCGGCTGAATAGGGTCTTCTCCCTTTAGCTAGTAGGGCTGTGGCGAAGTGTAATAGCTTAGCTTGTCCTGTTGTGTTGTTGAATTTCGTTCTGTTCGCCGGTCCCAGGTGATATTCTAATACCTCGAGCATAGCGTACACACACACACAAAATTTAGGGGCAGAGGTTACAGAGATTAGAAAAATAGTTTATTTTAGTGATTGTGACTTACCCATTTAAGAGGCAATATTTAATATGATTACTTGTTGTATAGACGAAAACGCCATGTTCTTCCCAAGCCCCACTTTTAATTCTAACAGTTTCATGTACAGTAGCTTTGACTTCCAGATGTCGATCACATAAATAAAGGTATAGTTTAGTGAACATAGCAACATATTGACCATCAGGTGACCAAATAACATGACGAATGTACTAAAATGAACCAAAATATATGAAAAGCAAATAACTTAGTTTATAGTACAACCACAGTTTGTTTTGTTACCACAGAAGTTGATAAGATGAAAATATATCGGTTATTCTCGTACCTATATGGATAACTTACGTACAAACATTGGAAATGTGAGGCTTCATCATAGTATACGATTACACTTCAACCTTAGGAAGCACGACTGCTTAACTGAACTATGTAGGAAGACTGCTCACGTTAAGCGACCGCCGGTTCGTGTTCAATTCTTAGTGATATTGCTGATGTGCACTGATGAAGAGTCAGGCACTAGGATTAAACAGCTGTTCAATGATTCCTGATTTTTATTAGTCGTCTATCTAAGATTAGTCCGATAGAAACAAAGTTGTTGAACATTTGAGACCTATTTCTTTTTTCCTATGTCTTGTTTTGATTCTCTTTTTATATTACCAGAATATAATTAGTCTTAGGGTAAAACAATTTATCACTAATGTATCCAAAAAAGAAATGAATTGTAACTAGGAATGGGATTCAGGAAGTGCATCTCGTCTTAACTAAAAACTCATTAGCTAAATTCAAACTGTTAAGGATTAAATTACTTATTTACATAAATTAACATCATGTTTAAGTAAATCCAAAGTGTTATATCAACAGAAAACATTTACCTTGATATGTTTCAATGTTGATAAAGTACGTTTATTTGCAACATCACATAGACTGATCCCATTAGAATCACGAATTAATAAATTACCAGTTCCAGCATAAAAAAATTGATCAACACCAGAATAAGATACTTTTTTAACATTTTCATTTGAAAGATTTTTTATAACAATCTGACGAAGAAAAAAGATAAACAAAATCACTTAAAATATGGGAAACTAAGGTCAAATATGATAAAGTCACTCAAGAAAAGATTTTAAAACGATTTGACATATGTTCTGTCCACATATACAGTCCCTATGTCGAATGGCAATGTTAGTCAGTGTAAGAGTATGATGAAAGAAAGCTAAGAGAATCCATATCTAAACGTGACGTTAGTTCATGAAGTTGCTGACTACTACTCTGATTCATCTCGGCAAATGCAGACTACTAGGTTAAGACCCGAGGGATAATTGTCATCAGTGTTGTTGAATGAAATGGTTCACAAGCATTCACTCTGCTTCTAAATATTAAGTCCCAGTATTCCTTCATAAATACTTCTTCATTCTGACTTTCTAAACACTATTGTAAATGTCAAATCTTTTTCATTGTCAGTGCTGTTACATTATTATCTCGACTCCATTCATATTCAGTGTTTCAATTTCATCTCGTGTCTTATGTTGATGATTATTACTGACTGGCAAATATAAGATAAATCAAAGGTTATAACTTCCGACTCAATATGAAATAACAATTGACATTACAGACAATGATGAAGTAAGCTGAAGACAAAAATTTCTAGTTCTTTGGGAAACGATTTTACCAATGGGAAATTATTTAAAACATGGTTTTCAATTTGACAATAGGAGCAAATAATTTAATTGATGAAGATCAAGAACTCACTTTAAACAATAAATAACTCACTCAGACCTAAAATATTCCTGAGTATTAACAGAAGTTTACTAATGAATCAGTGTGGAAGTTCGCCCAGTTATATTCTTGTTGTCACCGTTCGATGAAAAGTATGTGATAAGAGACTAGATATTGTTATATAACTCCATATTGTAATGATGTTATCACTTAGCCCATAAACAAACGAATTATTTTGTGTTACAATACAAAGTGCATATATTAAACACTGAATAGTATTCAAATATTTGTTGATAGTTGTTGATACTTGTTGCTGTACGGTAAGTGTGACGCCTAGTATAGGAGAATACAGTAATAATGCAACTAGAAACATTCTTCCCTTAGATCTTGAATTAATATTAATTTGATACATCATGAACAACGAGACTTTATCATTCATTTTCCAACTAACAATACTCTATACATATGACATCTTCGTATTGTCAGTATTATTTCGATTTTATTGCTATGGATCTTGTAAATTTTCTTTTTCCTTGTACTGGTGCGAAGAACGACAAATTGGACTGGTACCAATTAACAGCACATAATACGCACTACATTCGTGTTACTTTGTAGAAACATTTTTAGAGTAGTTACTGAAAAAAATATCATAGTGCATAAAAAATAAACAGATTCAAGAAAATAAATACTACTTACTGATCCAGAACTTTCCAAAACTGCGAATCTATTACGACCAATCCAAGCGACAGCGATTCCGCTACCTGACCGACTTTCAACATGTTCAGGTTGACTATTACTACTACCCATTGTTTTAGGTAACATATACAAATCATAGACCATACTAGTTCCACTTGTTATGGACATATTAGCTGATGCGTTTAGTTCACTTTGACGTGGCCGACTTAAGACTAACATGGCATTCTCAATTGGATTGTAACCAACACTTACAGCTTGACCACGACCTCTATTAATAGAGTAAAAAGACGAAACCGATAATTTCTCATTTTTATATTACTGTTTTATATTATTATTGTTAGGTTAGACAGGTTCAAATTATTCTCATTTATAAAATTTGTTAGTGGTACATAGATTAGATCAAAGCATGTTCCATGCACGATTGTGTTGGTGCACGCTGATTGGCTAATTCTTATCCAATCAGCGCTAGTTGATACCTGGAAAAGAATCTAGGATCTTCTCATGTGAAAACTATAAATATACTAACGTATTTCTTATTATGCTTCTTATTTCCATTTATCCTTGTTATTCGAAATATAATTTCTTCCTTAATCAACCGCATTTTGATTTGGGGACTTTTCGAGTGTATTGGTGTCCAAGAATACTAAGCAATAGGAATAGCTGGGAAATTATAACAAAACTGTACGTCAACAATCTGTATACGATAAAAACGGAACACTGTAAATGAGTATTGTATTAAGGTAGTTATCAAAACAGTACTATTTTATCGAACATAAGACCAACTTATACATCACAATAAAGGTTGAAGAAATAGTTGTTTCTAGAACTAATTTAAGGTTATTATTAAAGATATTTTTATTGTAAAATAACTAAGTAACTGAATTGCGACGTTTATATATTCCGTTTATCATAAGTTTCCATTTAAATCACTATTATTATATTACTTATTCCTATTTTATTATTAATCAGTTATTCTGAACTTGCCTTGTTTACAGCCACTTTGGGTTGCTAATGTACAATTGTGATTCCTCATTTTCTGGTGTAATGTGGTTCAGTATGTTTATATAAACCCATGTGTATTTGAAAATGTAATACAATAGAGGTTAGCTGCTGACTTCTCTTTGGAATAAAGACAGGTTTACGGATAGTGAACCAGAAGGAGCTTAGCTTGGGTCGACTCAAGGTGAATGTTACAGGTTAGACGTGTAATTGGTAAAATCTAATACACTAGGGTATAGAAGAAATAGCAAACGCGGAACAGAAGAGAACTGTAGTTATAATTTCGATTGATGACTTGAACACATATCATTTAGTGATTTCATGTCATATAACACCGAGAACGTAGATAAATCTTCAATGAAAATATAAATGGAAGTGGCCAGATTCTAAAATCTACGTTCATACTTTCTAAGAAAATAAGTACATCATTTACAATCACTGAATGACCACTTGGCAGTGACTCATGTCATGTTTATGTAGTCTTTCTAGTACTGATCAAAATCTATCAAGTTGCAATATGGGCATGGCTTTAATTGACTAGATATTGCGTGGACTGTGTTGACATGTTAATTGGTTGGCATGAGACCCTGAAATATTTCTTATATACAAGTTGATGAACGTAGGTCGTCAAACCGTAGAATATTTCATCACAGTCATCAGTCATGAATAATTCACATTCTTGTTGATCATATTACTTCACAATGAAAATTGTCTAAAATAAAAACCCATGAATTTATGTCAGTACTCAAACGAGAAATTCTCATCGTTAGATTGAGCGCTGATCCTATACACCTGTATTGTGAGGAATGATATGTTTAATAAAATTAAATATAATTTGATGACATTGTTAGAATGCGAAAAAAAACTTACTCTCGTAATTGAATAACGGGAACATCTTTGGTAACAGCAAAGTCAACTCGTCTTAAATGAGGAAGCTTCACATAGAACATATAATCTTTATATACTGTAAATGCAGGTCTCTCACGTTCCAACTTGAAAACAACAAATCCTGTATCATGACCAGCAGCAAATAGATTTAGTTTCGGATGAGCGTTTAAAACCCAAAATCTATCTGAATCTCGACGAATAGTTGACACACAAGTTCGTTTGGCTAAATCCCATATTCTGATAGATTTATCCTCAGAATCAGAAAGTAACAAGTCTTGTCTGGGATGAAACACAACACAGCTAACATTGTTAAAATGACCACGAAGTGTATCCAATTCCCAAGCTTTTGATTCTGTAATAAGAAAAATTTCATTGTTGGAATCAGAAACATTTAAATGGATATCGGCAATAAGATAACATAACTCTTTCGGAATTAGTCAATCAATCAATATACAGCCTCGGACAAAGTACGCTGGACATGTCACTTTATTACGATAAGATGAATAACAAAGGAGTCGAAATAATGTGGTAGCGATGATAAAAAAAGACTAAGCTTTGAAAATATGGTTGGAACAGATAAAGTGAAGATATAAGTGAAAAAATACTGGAGTTCAAAATCTCAAAAATGTTAAAGTATGAATACAAATGGGCCACTTCACCTAACATTTTCAACCATCGATGATTGTTACGTCTGGCCGATTTTGAACGCTATATTTGCTTCCCTAAGCTAGTTCCGTACCCCCGAGCTAGAACTATACACCGACTTGAAGACTAGAGAAAAGGCACAAAGTGTGTGGGAAGCACTTTACTACAGGGTTCATTTATGTACAGAAAATATAGGGATTTTATAGTAATTTAATAAACCTTGAGTTTCACTGAAAGTTCTACTGTTAAACATAGTAGCAGTGTATAAATCAGCCAATCAGGATCTCCACATGTGACTTTTCCATTTTCGTTATTTTAGTAACATTTTAGTAACTTCTAATTAATCGCTGATTGGATGAAATGCTCCTTGATGACCCATGAGCTTGTCATGTCGCTTGCGAGAAAATTACAGGGTCATCCCAACAATGAGGATTATCGAGCAAACCCCAATCAGGTAGTTCGCATCTATCAACATGGCGCAGACCGATATTCGATAACTTCACGGACTAATGGCATGTTTTATTTTGGTTGCTCCTAGCTAGTTAACAAGCAAACACTAAATAAGGAAACGCTGATATAAATAGAAAGTACGGATAGGTATCTATATAACAATAAGATTTACCGAACCATCTTATTAGAACTGATTTTCTATAATTTTGATCTCTCATGCCTGACTTTTAATATCTCGCTGAACTCAACCAGAAACTCGACAAATTAGCAACACTTTTTAGCTCTACAACTTTAAGGCTTCTCATGATCCCTTGTCATCAACTTTGGGCATTAAAGTAAGTGATATATTGTGACAATATAACACATGTTGATGTAAATTTAGAACTAAATAGATTAATAAAAGGTTGTCGTTTAAAATCATACGCCTAAGCTTAGCGATGCATATAGACAACTAGCTAGAAATGCGTTCCAACAAGTGAAATAACAACCTATAAAAAAAGAACTGATACTTTTTATTCACTGAAAATGTGATGTGTTATACTGCATACACTAATCATAATTTAATATGCTTGTGTACTAAGCTAATTATTCGCAACTCCCACTATGAAACAATAGCTGAGACTACTGTTACCCTTTTCTTCTTTGACTGGTAAGTGTGGTGAAAAGTCCAAGTTTGTACAGAGACTTTCTCGGTAGAGACTGGAGAATCAGCTTTTAATTTACTTAAACAATATGCTTGTCTAAAAATTTAGTACCATCATAGATAAACAAATCATTTAGACTACCTAGTGCTATTATACATATTTTTTATCGATAACATCGGTCCACTTGTTTAAATTAATTGTCGTTAGCCGACTGTTAGTTAATATACTGGAACCACAAACTTATCTGAGTGCTTACATATAAATTAAAATATTACTAAATGTTATATATATATATATATATATATATATATATATATATATATATATAACATTTGACCATATCAATTCTGATTTATATATTCTTAAGTCAAATAGTAATATACAGTGTTACGATACATTTGCAAAATTCATTAAAGGTGAACTTACCAGTCATTCTCCAAATTTTAATAAGTCGATCATCTGCTGCAGATACAACTATTGGTAAAGTTGGATGAAAAGCTACCCAATTCACCCCACGGTCGTGACCTTCAAGCACATGACGAACAATTACTTCAGTTGTTCCAAACAACTCTGTATGACTTGGACCAAATAGATTTGAACCAGAAACACCAGAACCAGAAGACCCTGTGAAATGTCGCGAGTGGTCCTGAAATTGTAAGAAAACAAACAAATAGATTGAAGTTGGTAGATATTTTTAATTATTTAAAAGACTGATCATTAACTTTAGAAATCGGAGTTTCCTGAGGATTGTTCATGAAATAATTAATTTTTAGATTCACATATCTTACAACGATAAGGCTAACTGAACACACTCGCCCTTATAAAGTTAGCTTATGATTACTTGAAGGTTAAGTATGAGAAAACATAATGCAAATGTGCTGTCAGTTTAACTTAATTATGAAGAAGTGAGTGCTTCATAATTTTCAGCAACTCAAAATGGTGTAAAGTAAAAAATTTTAAATGTTTAGGTACATGATTCAACGAAATTAACCCAAAATTAATTACCTCAATACTTGACAATGACGACGGAGCTACACTTTTCTTCCGCAGACCTGACATATCCCAAACGCGCACAGTTTGATCTAAAGATGCTGATACAATAAGATCTTCTCTTGGATGGAATTGAGCACACATAACATAATGGCTATGTCCAGTTAAAATAGATACTATAGCTCGTGACTGCCAATTCCAAATACGAATTGTCTGATCATCTGAAGAGCTTAGGATCCACGGATATTCCTAATTTACACAATAAATTGTGAGAAAATAGAAATTTCCTTTAGATTTGATTAAATGTTTAAAAGGATACTCATAACCTCTGCCTCTACAAACATGTATATAACTTTGTCTATTCAATAATGAGCATACACTGGTAAAACAGAATAGCATGACTCGTTGATAGAGCTCACGATTACCTAGACAAAACTAACATTGATAGTAAATTTTCTAATGTTAAGATAAAGTGACAACAAACGTCAACATTAACAGACAAGTTAGTATCATGATCATTATACACGTCACCCTGTTGTATTGGCCACCTCACTTTAATGTTTTCACTATTGTTTTTATGATGTCGATAACCAAACGGAAAATTACACAACACAAAATCTCTTGAAGTTAATATCAAATGGTGTTAGAATGATTCTTATGATAGTGGCTTATGTTCTAAGGTACCTGGCAGTCCACAGGAATTCCATGAGACAACGGCAACAACCCAGAATTATTGTCTAGTCACAAAGAAAGGACAGTTACCACTGCATCGAGAATCACCACTCAGCTTACCTGAAATGAGAATTATCTAATTCAGTGCTGGAAAGCGAAATGGCTTTTTATGAGGGAAGTTGTGCACTAACTAAAATCGACTTTTGCATTCTACTGCAAAATCAGCCTTGTTATTGAGGTCCTGTTCATGAGCAGACCTCTTTGTATCCGTCCTGCCATTTCCCTCATATCATTGTCGATCTTACAGTTTATACAAATTATTGTTTCTGTGATTGATTAGAATATACGGAACAACCATTTTTCCCTAAAACTTCTTACGAAGATTGCTTACTAGGACAGCGTTCAATGGTCAAAAAAGTCGATTGTGAAGCCTTGATTAGTGATTTCAAGAATTATTCGGTCGACTATAATTTAAGGAGCCAAGTGATATCACTAATTCTGCGAAAACTTTATTTTAAAGATGAATATATAAACCTATACATGGTTAATGCATTTAAGAAAATATTAGTTATTAACGTCCAAACGTTATGTTGCCAAGAGTTTTTTTGGTTAAAACCTTGATATTTCAGATGACGGATTATACAACCTTTCGAAGATATACATATATATAACCCAGCCACTCCATTGATTTAACTTGACTAGTACAGTGAATCGGTACGATTCACTAATCTAGTATCGGAGATCTAAGTAAATGTTTTCCTGATACTTCACAGTGGAGGAATTAGATTAAATCTCGAACAAAAAAGAATTCGTATTCCGTTCACTGGAAAGGCTTCATGAGGGATGAAAAAAATACATAGGTTGTATGATAGCGGTTATGTTAATTTGTTTTTAATGCACCTATTGATTACAGTTCGGGAGAAACAGAGTAAGATGTTTTAGACCATTTATTAATATCCAATTAGTCCAATGAACTAACCATGTGTGAAATAGGGAAGTGGATTTACACAATTTAGTACTTTACATGAAAAAATAAAGCATGTCACTAGAAAACTACAAGGCAACTTACTTTATGAAAGAATGTCGTTCTTATGTAGTCCAAGTGACCAATCAGATTGAACAAACACTTTCGCTGTTTGTAATTCCACACCTTGATTTTATAATCATCTCCGCCTGAAACAAACAAAGGCTGGTTGGCATGGAAGTCGATGCCTCGAACAGGACCCTCATGCCCTTCAAACTTTTCAATAAGCGTACAACTTCGATAATCCCATAACTGTATAATTCCTGTATGCAAACTGCTAAGAATCCATGGTCTTTTAGGATGAAAAGCTAATCCTATAAGGTGAAGCATTTACAAATTCATTTTAGTATGAAAAGTGCTAAACAAATGGCATATACCACTGGAAAAGCATGTAGCAAATTATTTTGGTAGTGACAAAAATACCAAACAGATGTCGCAACTAACTGTATGTTCAGGAAAGTTGAAAAAGTTAAGTGCATACTTGTACATAAGGATGGAAAATAATAATGGAACCATCACTTTAAATGACTGAAACAAACAGGTTAGAACAACTTGAAAGATAATTGAGAATCACCCCGGTTTAGTCTAAATATTACAAGGCACCTACTTCGTACTGTTGAATTGTTAGCTGGTAAAACCACCCCCCGCAAATACAATGAAAATTAAGTTCTACATTCACGCTAGAATGTCAATGAAGGTACTGAGTAAAATAATACTTAGTTGAGCTGTTATCTTTTGATTTTATCTTCTAGATACTGAACGGAACCAATATTAAATTGACACTATTATAGTGATGGGAATAGCAAAATAACTACAGGTGTTATAGCATACCAGAAAAGGATTACTAAAAATTGAACCTGCATTAGCAATTTAGGAATCACCACAACTAGACCGAAATTTTTATATATGGCACATTTCCAATAATATCAAACTGAGGTCTGTCTCTTTAGTTAACAAGATTATTTTTAAATAAGACTTTCTGGAGTCCCGTTGTGAGCAGTTTATCAGCAATAGCCTGTCTAGGGGCATTACGAAATGAGTAACTTCTGAACATGGTGCGATTTTGCATTCATTATAACCAAAGCAATAGTTTATATTCTAAACTCATATTGAAATTATAGTGAAAACAACTGATATGAACTAGTCGTAGCATGTCGCACAACTAAAACGATGCGGTTTTTTACAAGCATTTGAATGTTTCCTTGTGTTAATTTATCCAGTTTGTGAGTATGGTCTACTCAAAGTATTAGTGGGTCGAATATGAACATGAGGTCATTTCCGAAATACGTTTGAACTAACTGACAAATAGATTGATGAAGTATGACACATATATAATATAGTGGCTCCTTGTGCCAATGTTTGTGTTTAAATATTTAAATAGATAAAGCCATTGACCAAATTACTTTGATTAACATTGCAATACTAATCAAATATAAATAATAATAGTGTGCAGTCTCGCTATGCGTCATAAAATAATTAAATGAAGAGAACAAGCTTATAGTATTAGAGTAGAAATAGGTGGGCAGATGACTGCATGCCCTATTAATCAAACTCGTACTAACGTGTATTCACGCTTACAATCACAGATACACATTTTCCATGAAAGGACTACAAATTAACCGAAAATTCACTTTGCGTTGACAAAGCTGAGTTAGTCATTTAACACGAGACTAAAAAACATTACCTTTAACTCTAGCTGATTTGCAATCAAATTTTGATAGGTACGACATTCGCCAGGTTGGAAGACGTTAAAATACTGCCTCAAGTTTAAGCGCACATAAACAAGATGCGAATGTTCTAACAATTATGAACTACATTTTTCTTGGATTACAGGACTGTAAGTGAGGTTCTTAGCAAATATATGAAATTATCGATTTGGATCTTATTATTATTACTTATTTATGAATATTAGGTAGTTTATTCAGTTACTGTAATTACCTCCAAATCATGAAGATAAAAGGCAACTACAGTACCTTATTCCCAATGGATTACAACTTCTAGAAATTTCAACTTGGCTTTCGAAAGATGGGCAGCTTATAAATTTTAGATAAGGACCCGTGGGCGAGTTCTAGCAAATATACTATACCCGCACTTATGAGCAGCTCAATTGGCTATTTCTTCGGTGTCACTGATGAGAATACGTGTTCCATTGAATTCAGAGCGTTAAAAAAAACAATGGACATCTATTTTCTGATATCGGAATTTCCGTTTTTGTAGCTTACACAGCCTTTTTTGGCTGAACCAATTCTCTCTGTGTCATGTTGATTGGTATATACTTATGTTCCGGTTGGGTTAGGTGATAGTGTCAACGCATAATCCTGCAGTTTTATGTTACCAAACTTGTCCTCAAGACTTAAGACGTACGTTCTTGGCTTTCTTATATGTACCAGGGCTGTCTGAGAATGTTCTAAGATCTCTATTCAACTGTCAAATTCCCTCATATGTCTTTTGTTTAGTCGTGGTGTTTCATCTTAAGCAAATTCAATTTTATGTCTGTTCTCCTACTTGGTGACACAGTGCTTTGTAAATGTCGTGTTTCTCTTAAACCTACGTGTAATTTGTGAATGAGTTCTCACAAAGTCGGAAATTATAGAATCTATATCATCGATTTATTTAACTATGATCATGTCATTTGGAAGCAGCGTTGCTGTTTACTATTGTCACAAGCATAGAGATTTGGGTGTTTTGTTTTCTAAAGACAGTCCTTATTATGTGAGATCAGTACGACACGCTAACGTAACGATAAAAATATATCCTAGCACACCTTTCGTTGAAAACAGTCTCCGCTATTTCGGAGTTAAGTTCACGTATAATATTTCAAGAGATAACTATTGGGTGTCAGTACACCAATCCCAATAATATGTGGTAAGTAATTAATAAGAGTATGTCTGATTGACCTATCCAGATCATCATAGATGATATTCATACGGAAATACTGACAAAGTTATTTTGCTGATGGCTTGTAAAATTATGGTTTACTTAGTTATTAGTACTATTATGATAATAGACCTGATCCCGAAATTGTAGATGCGTCATGATGTGAATGTCTAATCTATAAGATCTTACGTGGAGGTCACATCATCTTCTATACTAACTCATCGTATCGTAACAATAATGAATATATATTTCTGCTAGGGCAGGTACACGTCATTTTTACGGGCATGATCCATAAATTACAACATTTATTGGCTCACAGTATGTTTCCCAAGTTGGGTCGTTAAATAAATATAATCAATAAAAGCAAATAACATTTCAATCGTGCAGATATTTTGGAGCGTTAATGATCAGATCTATGCTTTAGTATGATATGATGTCTGAAGTTTCTAAAGAACACATTTAGGCTACAGATAGAAAAATATATCTAACGTGAGTAAAGACAAGGTATACAGAATGATTATGTCTGCAATGCCGAGCCATGCCATCTCTCTGAGTGCATGAATACTTCTGCATTCACCATTGTTGGCCTTCTCTCCGTGTTAAATGTTGAGTATCTATTTTCCCAGTTATATCGTGTTTAGCCTTGAGGATTATATGGTTAGGATAAATACTACTACACGTCCATTGAGTGTAACTTTAGTTTCAATATACTTTACGGAATAAATCTTATTAACATTTCACTAAAATCGCTGCACAGGCGAAAAACATGAAGTGGTCATTTCCCATTGAACTTCCTCACCCAACTTAAACTACGGTTTTTTAAAGACCCTGAAAATGGATGCTGCCATAGAGAAGTATCTGATGATGGGACAAACCATCAACTGCCTATATATCAACTTAAGAAACCTAAATGGTGAATAAAGAACAGAAGTATGTGATTTTAGTCAAATCTGAAGATCATGGTTCTAACCAAAATGGTTCTCCACTGAAATGAAGAGTGACGAATTGGTCATTCAAGGCATAACACTTGTCTGATGAGATAGGGCAATCAAAACTGGAGGTGAAGCGGCAATACAATTTAAACCCCTTCTAAAGCCGTAATACCATACAATACCGAACTAATAGGAACAACAGAATTGCACTGGTTTTATTTAAACGTAAACAGCATGAAGTAGATGAAAGAAAGAATATGTAGGGTATTCTCACGTACTAAAGCCCAGAAAGATAAAATCAGTCTTATAGTATTACTTTGGTGTATGTTACTTATGTCGACAGACATAAGTAGTATGCTACACTAATCGGAAGTAGAAAACCTGGTAGCAGATGTCTGTGAAGATAGACATGGAATTAGAAAGGAATTATGAATCGAAAGAATCATACCGAATATGAAAACGAATTATGGAAATTCGAAAATGAAGTATTTAATGTGTGGTTCTCATATTTTGCCGAGACGCTCTGCAATTTCGTATTAACATACATTTGGTTGTTTCTACCTGAGTGTTCGTTCGTTACATTACAACTATTACACCTAAACTTGGACCAAATACTCTTATTTCGAGATCTTAACACTCCAACCTTAAATTCACTTCGCATGTTACCAACCAAACAGGATGGTTTCAGAAGAGGCTCGTCACAGCCAACAGAGGTTTGGGACTGACTGAACATGTGGGTGGCACCTTGAGATTAGGTAAGGATGTATAATCCTTAAAAACTATCCGAAATCTACACATTTTTCCAGTCGAATATGTGTCCGCATTTGTTCACGTGCATTGATATGAGTGAAGACATGTCGAGGCGTTTGACTGCTAATTGATGTTCATGCAGGCTAAAATGAAGGGGACATCCGCTTTGTCCGATGTAGTGTTTGTCGCAGTTGGCACAATTTATTTAGTAGATGATTTTTGGTTTGTCTTCTTTTGTCATTTCATCCTTTGGTTTGTATAAGATTGAATGAAGAGATTTTGTTGGTTTGTGAGTAACACCTACTCCGAAGGTCTGGAGATTTTGGATAGAGGCAATTTCAAAAACACCAGAGAATTTTTAGAAGCTTGGCACTCACGTCAATCGGCAATAAACAAGCACATTGAAATCAATCCAATTTATCAACTAATCAAGAAGACTATGCAGAAACAGGAACAAAAATCAAACCAATAAGAGATACTAACAAAACAAAGAAATAAACAATGACAGATTTAAGGTCGACAAGAACCAATAAACAACAAGGTGTATAAGACAAGCTGTGAATCACATATTGAGAAATTCAAACACTTCACTTCTACCCGACATTTGTGCTAATGATGTCTTTCAGAAGGACGATAAAAGCCCCACGACCAAACCATCCAGCTCAGAGAACAAAACTCCATCAAAGTAACAGTGTTGCAGTTATTTTCAATGTGGTCACAAAAGCTAAACTTTGGAGAAAAGAGGATGCTTCCTACGTTTGGTACATTAAGGCAGAATACATGGTCATGACAGAGTATCTTCAAAGGGCAACATGGACACCAGATTGTTGAAGGCTAACAGTAAAGATAAACACGGACAATGTCTTGAACAATGTAGCTCAAACATAATGCACATTTGAGGAGAATATTACTGGTAGAACGAGGCTGCAAGGAAAAAGGAGAGCTCCATACAAGTGGAAAGTGTTCGTAAATGATTGTGACCGCATCTCTCACTTGGTATTGAGAAACAGATGGAATGCCGAAGTTCGAAGAGATAGAAGGTAATTCCAGATCAAGGTAGCAGTCAAATATAAGCTTCAATTGACTCACGCTTTCAACTATGAAACATACTAAATCTCCACAAAACCCCTTCTGATAATTAAATATAAGCTAACCTAGCATATCCCTTTAGGTTTGCGATCAAGTGGTTACCTACAGACCAGGGCTTGATGGTGAGCATTTTGCCGACCTAGAGATGGAAGAAGTCTTTAAAACCAACTCTAATGACCAATAAAACCAAGAACAAACAAGCATGCTTGCTTTCCCCGTTTTATTTCGATTTTTCGCTTCACATTTTCAATGTCTGTCTTAGTTGTTGCTCCACATGACTTCAAAAGTGATTTAAATCCTCCAGATCGATTACAGAGACTGCCAAGCAAGTAGGTTAAGGGACTAAGAAATAAACCTTAAGAAAAAGGACTCCAGCACCTGGCGTTATTCTCGATGAGCTATTGAAGAATAATATTGATTTGATAATGCTATACGACATATTGAGTACGTTATGTCATCCAAACAAGAGCATACTGCAAGGACGTCATCATTATTCGGGGCAACTTTTTAAAGATCAAAAATCAAAGAGCAAAACTCCAGGTACGCTTTCACTTATTCAGGAACAGTCGTATCCATTTGGAATACTCTGCCAGGTGAAACGACTACAGTGTCCTCAGAGGAGATTTGAGAGACGCCTACATACCCATGGATTACTCTCCCCCGATTAGACTAGTTGTGCCTTATCTATGTCACACAACCTACCTGCTGATATCATTATTACTAACCACTAAATTACTCATATATCCCTTATCACTGTCTCCGGTTCCCCTTTAATTCTTTCACTCCTGTCTTATCACACTTTTCATTACCGATTAGTTAACTTTTTTGTTTAGCCGATTAGTTCTTGGAACAATCTTCTCTTTCAGGATCCTAATTTTCTTCTAATTATTTTTCATATCCCAAATAACCAATCTCCTACCTGTTGAACTGATAGCTGCTGATATCCAGAATACCTAATACCCCTTTCATTGTGTTGTTTCTTTATTTGAAGAAGGTAGAAAAGATAGAGCTTGCATACGCCTATAGTGGAAATGGAAACCTTTTAATGCTTACAGAAATTCTAGTAGGTTACAATCGTTTTTAATTTGTCAATCACGAAGGCTGAAGAATTTGTGTACAGAAAACTGTAGGAAGAGAGATTATTTTTCTTTTCGAGAAGGTAGTTGAACTTACTTTTGGATTTCTAGGTTTTAATCCACGCTGAATTCTGCTTGATCTGGTTTTCAGGGTTCATTTATTGGTAGTTTTCTATGATATGTCGAATCGCTAGAACTGTAAATACGAAGTTATTAGTTTTAGCGTCTACATGTTTTTATGTATCATTCTTTCTGTAAAAGATCTGAGCAGAAATACTTCATAACGAATGCAAGACTACTTATATTAAAAAGGTTACTTCTGATAAAAGTCATCCAAATACTCTGTATAAATCCAAACTCGTCAATCTTTCCCAAGAGCACTTCTGATAATTTTATGTTTGTCCCGTCCAACATTACATTATACATAATGAAGGGGAGAGCCTGTAGTGGTATTAATCCTAACCACATAATCCTCAAGGCTAAACATTTAACACGAAGAGAAGGCCAAAAATGGTGAATGAAGTAGTATTCATGCACTCAGAGAGATGGCATGGCTCGGCATTGCAGACATAATCATTCTGTATACCTTGTCTTTACTCACGTTAGATATATTTTTCTATCTGTAGCCTAAATGTGTTCTTTAGAAACTTCAGACATCATATCATACTAAAGCATAGATCTGATCATTAACGCTCCAAAATATCTACACGAATAAACTGTTATTTACCCTGCTTCCATTTTCATTCCTATCGTTGATACACGGCTTCTTATTGTCAACTGAAACAGAGATATGCAGCAGTTGGCAGTTTCCTTGGTGCGTGATCTTCTATCGTTACTCATGTGGTCGCGTGCTTGTATCGGATGAATTGTGTATACTGGCGGGGATTTATACTGTTTTGTCCTCTACGTGATTACGGTCGAAATATGATGCACAAAAAACGATACTCGAATGTCTAGAACCCCATGGTCGCAATTCAGAAGACAGGAGAAACAGAAGAAGTGATTATTGAGGAAGAATCAAGAATGTACAGAGAAACATGGGTGTTTATAAATATTAGCACTAGTTATAGCATAATTATGTTACCGTCCAATCGTAGCATGCCACGTCAATATTCTTGAAAGATCAATGATGTTCTCATTGGATGGAAACTCTCCGGGTCCCTTATAGCCTCTGAAGGCTTTGTCGTGCTACGTAAAAGCTGCCCTAACGTGTATGATAATGTTCAGCGTGGTCTTATGCGCTAAAAGTAAATTTTGTTCTAATCTGTGGTATAAATACGACTGATTGGTGCACTCGTGATTTACAGTGCAAATAACAAGAAAACCGACTTCCCCTTTAGATATCAAAGTTTATTTGTAAATTACAAGAAATCAACCCAAATACATTGTTCTAATAACAATTACATAAGCCCTTAATTTTTAGATTTCCGAGTTGAGATCTCCACAATTTCAAATAGAAAGTGTCCGAGGTCAAAATTACAGATGAAAAAGTTCAAATGCAAGACAAATGTATCCAAAATAGTGGATTTAACGATATTCAATCTAACAGTTATTTACCAGTCAAATGCTCCCAGATTTTTCTGTAACATGTCTCCTTATTGTTAACCGAGTTAATATATTTTTTCTACACCTTTAGCATACGAACTATGATTATAAACCTGTAGTATCACAGCGAGAGTAGGCCAATCTACCACGGAGATCGCATTCAAATTCGGAGTCGCGGGTTTTATCTAGTAAAAACGTGCCATAAAAACGCTTTCGCTGTACCTTTTCTCTCAGGTGGGCTGATGGAATGGGAGTTAAGGAAGTCCTTTTATTCTACTTCTTTTTGCTTACTTGCCTTACTAGGAGTATGAGTCTGGGTAGGATTGTGGACCCTATCACTTAGTTGGGGGCTCGATTCCGGTGTCTAAGTGGAATGAATCGACTTGTAAACATCGCTTTGAGGTTTGGCTTTTGATGCCGTTTTGCGCTTCCTTATAATCAAGTTGCTAGATACAGGGGTTTTCGACTCATTACCCACCCCTGAATAAGTCCTCTACTAGTTGTCCGTATAGTTAGTCTTGGTGGAAACACCGTCACGTGCATGGAGAACATGTGACAATTGGAGGCGAGATGTAAGTTTCGGAGGAAGATGATAGAAATAAGTGCATATATGCCATACAAGAATAGAATCTTACACTTGACGTTGCACTGTTGCCTTTGATTGTCCTAGAAAGCAACTTGGAGCGGATCCAGTAACTCTTGTGTAAGTCCCGTTTGCAGATGAATCAATGTATGCTTCAGTTGAAGCGAACAGAATGAGTACTTGACTAGGACAGCTAGACCTAGCGCACGGTGGTTCAACCGCGGTATGACAACGGTTGTCAAATTTATTGCCTGTTAGTGAAACGGGACGCGATTTGCTGAACATTCCAATTTCAGTGGAAACTGGATATTCCTCGTTATTGGTGAGAGATTAGTAAGGTCACATCAGGATTGACAGGTGCGCCCTCGAACGAATGAGTTCATTCGTGCAGATAGTCTAAGATACTGGTGATAGGCAAGTCATCAGCTTCCCTCTAAACACTCACAGGGGGCTGAAATTAACTTTAGTGGGGATTTCAGACTGTGAAAAACTAAGGAATTTTTGAGGGTAGCTTGTCGTATAGTCAACCTAGTTGATATTCTTTGGAGCTAACACATAATATTTTGGTTGACTAGTTTTTTAAACTAGGCATTGTATTTCAACCTTCCGCCTTTCATATCAAACAGATCATAACTACGTCAAGCACATCCGAACCGCTCGCTAGGTATATTTTTGATTAATTCAGCCGTTAGATTTAGCGATGTAACCAGTAATCTCAGTTATGTGAAACAAAGTAAAAATCGCCAGCCAGGAAATTAAACTGGACGATCGAACAGGGGGTGCAACTTTTTGAGAGCTTGAATATTAGCTTGTTGTTGGGATTTGAAGTAACACTTCCACTGTAAACAGCACGCACTTGAATTACCAGAGACCATATTCGTACCTACAGAAATATTTGTCTCCCGGAAGAGACTTTTTATTCTCATCATTTAGTACAAAACTTTGACCAATTCAAATATCCTATCTCTGCTTAGTTTTCTGGGTTTTTTTTCCATCAAAGATCCTGTACATAAAAAAGAGATCTGTATGTTTGGCAAGTCTGTTGGTCTGTGCTTATTCTGCCTTCGATTACTTGGGAAATTAAACAGCCACCTGTCGGCTATGGCACTTATAATTCTGGAGAACCCTTACCAATAATTATGGACAGACATAGTTAAAACTCAAAGATAAATTCAAGGTATCAGATAATTTATTTAGGTGGGAAAAAACAACCAAAACGATGTTTTTATGTGAATCAAAAAATAATTGAGTTCAAACAAGAAATGAAAAGAAAGTAACCATCACATTATGTTGAATTGTCGGTATGAATCAAAAAATTGTTGAAAAATATGACAGACATATTCGCACCATTTCTCAATAATGACCAAATGATGTCATTTTCCTCAATATAAAAAGATGAGGTAAATAAAATCAAGTTTAATTACTGATTTTTCTTAGAAGCGTTTTGTTGTGGACCGTAATTTTCAGTTGCATAGGGAGCTGTTTGATTATGATTATCTTGAGTAATACCCGGATAAGATGGGGGATTGCCTGGATAATTTGGCGCATTAGGTTGTACGTATACACTAAAAGGATCTTCTGGAAAGTAGTAACCTCCACTTACAACATTGGCAGGACCATTAGAAGCAGCAGCTTCATTCGATTTAGTTAAAATGATACAAGTTAAAAACATAACAATTAGGGTCTAACCCAGTCAACAAATAAATATTATGCTAGAAATAAACAAGCGTTGACAAAGTAGGCTAAAGATCAAGTAATACGAAAAAGAGAACTCAGCGAAGAAAATTTTCTTCACTGAATTCTCTTTTTCTTATTCAATGACACTATGAGTTATTTTAATTATCAAGTAATACTTTTGCAAAAAGACCATTATTATGTGGAAGCTATGAACTACACCACGTGAACATCATCTAAATCATTATGACCAGAGAGGTATGAAATTTATTAAGACAGCATTACTCCTAAAGTAAGTCACTCTGATAAGTATGTTTATGAATAATTACGAGCATAACTATAAACAAAATTACAATTGCTACGAATAATTTCGATAAACACAATTCATTAACCGTAAAATATTTTAGCGTAGTAACTAACGTAGAATCCGTAGCCATTTTCCAGGCTGAAAATAGTTGCGAGTTCTAGTAACATTAATTTGAGACGTGCCCCCAAATGCCCTGGTACGGCCGAGAGTGGGGAGAGTCACCTCTCCCTCTCCAAATGCTCTCACATGGCCAGCGAATATATAGCCTCTGTCAGGGAAGTCCTACTCACTGCCTTCTCGTGGCGGGGGTGTTGTTCACAAAAGTGAGAGAACGAAAAGCGAATGTCCGGCGCTTTAACCGGGTTGGTGGACATGGAGGGTCCACCTAGGGGAGTTGGAAAACCCTGATTTCAAACCAATGGTGCATATGAGCTCCAGTATCCCGAGGAAACAAATGGCGTACGAATCAATCGTTGATCACCGGCTACCATGGGACTGCATCTCCTCACGATGCTCCACTGCCTTGTGGATCAGATCTTTAGGTCAATAGCTCTGGGTGTGGCCCCCTAAGAAAACCACCTGCTTCAGTTCGGGCACCTGGGCAGTATCACAGCCCTCAAGCAAATCGAATGAGATTTATATGGCGCATATGTATCTGGTGCTTCCTTGTACCAATATTTATGTGTTTAAATAAATAAAATAAATAATTTGAGACGTACAAGAAACTTGCCAGATACGAGTATAAGGTCTGTTCGAGTAACAAACCTTAGTTTTAGAATAGTGAACAACTTATAGTAACCTATTAGCATCCACTTTCTATTTAAATGCTTTAAGATAGATATTTTCTAAGCAAGTTTATTTCCAAACGATTATCACAGTAATGTTTTAATATGGAAGACTGATAACATTAAAAAGATAAAGGTTATGTAATATAAATGAAGATGGTGAATATTTATAGCTCAGGTAGATGATTTAGTTGGAGTTTTATTCTCTGATGTGGATAGTTTGGTCGTGGAGCCTTCATTGTTCTTCTGAACAAAATCATCAGCACAAACTTCTACCTTGAAGGTTTACTTATAGAATCACCTGATAGGTTTGACGTGGCTATGCATATTGTTGCTATATTTTATCCATTTGCACTTTGAATCGTTCTAGATGGATGTAGTTAGTGTCTAAAACATAAGATATTACGGATAAACCTATTAATATAGTCGGATGGTATACTCATTAAGAGTAATTTGATAGCACCAACTCTTTTCAGACTACAAAATCGGATTTTTCCACAAAATTGTGAACTTGATAAGTGATAAACCTTTAAAATAAAAAAAATAATTTGAAACACAAAAGCTCTTACATCCTTGTGTTGAGTTGGTAACTGGATATGGTGCATTCTCACCTACAGTTGTTGAGTTAGTAGGATAAGGTGTTGTGTACTGACTAGTAGCAGCAGATCCAAAATCATTAGCCATTGTAGTAGGTGTTGCACCAGGATATGGAGGTGGTGCTCTGACTTGATAGAGTGTTTCTGCTGTAAAAAATAATGGTTTACGAAAAAGTGGAATATTATATATATATATATATAACATAATAGTCAGAAGTAGTAGAAAACAATAAGATTTTGGGACTCAGTTTCTAAAGGAAGACAAAACATAAACGCATCTACGTCACTGAGGACGATTCTGAGACTAGCCACTCAAGGTCTTTAACCAACAATTAATTAGTATAATAACAATGATAATATAAGCTTAGATAAGCAAAACAATTGTATTTACTTGTTTTCATTAATCAGTAAATATGAAGAACGAGTTGATAAGATGCGCAAGTGAGAAGTTCCTACTTACCTTGAGGTACAGTGAATGCTTCATGTGGTCGTACAAATCCATAGTATGGATCATTGTAAGGCGCAGAATAAGCTGGTGGTGGACAAGCATAATACTGGCCTGCACCATTCATATCTGCTACAGATAAATATGCATTTGGCGGTTTGAAATGTTGTTTTGCAGAACATGCACGTCTGCCTAGTTCGATTAATGTTGTGCCAAATTCAATTGCACCACCCTTTTTGAAAGTTAATGAGAATTTTGCTTCGCCCTTGGAAAAAATGAACGAGACACTTTGAATGTATAATGACAATCTGAGAAATATAACAAATAGTAAATCAGAATACAATAATTAGAATTAAGACTTGGTGATATTCGATTGGGTTGGAAGTTGAAACTACAATTTATTTAGTTTGATGCTTGCGCAGCAGGATACTATCTCTTGCTAAAAGCCTAGAACACAAACTTATACATGTGTTTATTGAGGTGTATTGAATAATTAAATAAAACTATAATAAACTGCTAAGACGATAATATTTGTGGAAGTGGATATTAAGTCTTATTGTAACGATTTATACAGTGTTACTGACTATCTTAACCACATTTCAAACAAGATTATGGGATGTTTACAACTTGTTCAATTGACCAGAAAAAAAGACAACCGACGGAATATGGATACATTTGTTCTGGTGCTGATGTTCACACTGTAAATTAATTCTCAAACTAATCATGTTACGAGTAATGCACAAGGAATAGAGGGATACTCTTATGACATACGAATGGTTTTGTTGATCTGTTGATGAATGTACGCATGAGTAAAAGTGAAAAGCATGTGAAAACATAAAAAAGTTATTCATAGACCAGGAGAAATTGATTACGATTCTTATGTATGAGTTTCTGTACTGTATATGTATTTTTAGTTCAACTAATATTAATTGAGAAGTATGAGGTATCATTAACTAGGTTTACCGATTATTGGATGGTATTCATATTTTTGTGATGATTTTATAAAATTGATAACTTGTGTTATACATCTATCTACTAAGTCTGATGACTTCGCACAGTAATGCACAATGTTTTATAATTGAATGGTTGGAAACAATTGACAGGAGGCTGAGTAAAATTAGCTTTACGAGAATTTATGCATTGCTAAAGGTATATTTAAATTCTATAATCAAAATGTAAACAAATAATGTTTCACTGGTGAAAGTATTACGACGGTTGATACATTGAATTATTTAGTATAGGAACAAGTGATCACATCATCCAAGAAATAAAAACTTAATGCGTATTAACCTGTATTTGATAAATCAATTACACAGGTTCATGATTACTTAAGAAATCTGTGGCCATTAAAAACATGTATTAGGCAAGAGGATGTTCCAAGTAAAACTAATAACAGATAAGCTAATCTAGCGATGTATTACGTATAGTGAATCTACTTTGTAACTCAAACAACCAATGGCTTGTGAAAGCACATGATACTAAGGTACATATGTAGGATTAACGTGATATCAAAAACTAGTATTTTAAGAAGGCAAGAGAACAAGTCAAAGATAGTAATTAACTTACCTGCCAGCCACCGTTCGGTTCAGCCGTAATTATGCCTTCTACACGATTCGCACCAAACACAGGTTGTTTAATATCAACCTCTTTCATATTAACAAATGGCATACTGAATGACAGTACGCCTGATGATGCTTTTTTGTTGATAAAAATTACCTGTTAAAATTTAGAGAAGATAACTATGTAAAATTAGTTACTCTGTGTGAAGTCAGGTACAAACGTCCCATATGTGAAAACTTGAGAAACTGACCATCGAGTTCTACATGACATCCATCGTAATAAATTAACATCCTGAAACACGACAATTGATTTACTTAAAACCGCGATTTGAGCATTTACCTTTCTCCATAAAATAGAACAACACCATTGCCGTTCGCGGAGTGACTTTGATTCATAGACATTCCGATATGGTACCTATGGGCGAAATCGGGAGAAAATGAATCGCTATAATAGTTTGTTTATATGTATAGATTCAAAATTGTAAATTATTGGACTAGGTGATTTTCTTTTCGCTATCAGATTGGGGATTTGAACCACCGCAGCTAGGATAGTAATATAATATTAAACATTATAATATACATCGGCTACGGTCTAGAGCACAAATTTATGTGATTATTCAGTCAATCAGTCACAACGTAGAACTTCGTACGTACGTACGTACATCAGTTCTAGTTGCCATACCACATTAGCACAGAAATACAATTGTCGATTGAAATCCCATAGTGGTAGAGGTAGTAAGAGTATAAACAGTAATCGGAAAGATCAGGGTTTGAAGATGTTATTCAAGGAGTATAATCTGGTGAAGTAAATTTGGAAAGAGAAAAGGGATAGGGACATGAAGAATCCAGAAGATTAGAATTTGAGAGAACACAAAGAGTGGATGCATCTTCGCCATTGCAAACGATTTTGAGCCATGTCATTCAAGGTGTCTAACCATCGATTGCTATCATCTCGCGGATTGCAAACAGGTAGTCTACACCTACCAACATGGCTCAAACCACGTGTCAGTGACTTGATGGATTTGTGCCACGCTTTGGTCTGGACGCTCATAGCTTTCTTCCAACCTACTCCTACACCACAAAACGTCGCACATCGGGGCATTCGGTGGTTGGGTATACGTAACACGTGTCCCAGACATCTCAACTGACGAAGTTTCACTACATCATCAACCGACTTGCTATCCTTACCTAGTACCTGTTTCCTAACAACTGCATTACTTATTCGGTGATCCCAGGATATACGAGAAATGCTTCGCAGACACCTATGATCGAATAGTAATAACTTACGAATACCCTCTACTCTTACCGGCTATGTTTCACTGCTGCACATTAAACCCGTCCTTTGGTTGGTAGACGGATATCTCGCCTACGCCATAAATGACACAAGTTGGCAAAAGCTAGTTGAGTCTTCTGTATCCGTGCTGAGATTTCGTCACATACCAGACCAGGAGTAACGATCCGCCTACTCGAATCGTTTGCCCTAGCGGTGTGAGGTGATAAAGGGACGTGAGAAGGGTTAGTCGTGGAGACAAGAGAATTATTAGGAGGTGCAGGAAGAATTTGAATGTGACCAAATTGGTTTCGTGTGCTGTTACGGGTATGAGGGCTAATATCACTTCCCGGTTGCCCACACCGTGAAAGATGTGATTATTGGGTTGCATCTTTTAGTACAAACAACGATAAGCACACACTAGCCCCAGAGATGTGGTAATAACAATTGACGGCTTCATGCTCTGATAATTTCGAAAAGTAACCCCAGTGTGAATTTTTAACAAAACAACTGATAGTAATTATCAGATATGTAAGCATAACTTAAAACATCGCGAGACGAAACTATCAAATGTCATAAGAAATCGATCGAAATAGACATTTGGACGTGTAGCAAAATAAAAAACAAACAATTAAGGAATTTCATGTCAATCAATAAGTTAGTCAGCCACAGACAACATAAAATCTGGTACAAAGATGTATTCAACTAAGTTCCCACATGTCAGAGTAGCGATAAGAGGCAATCAAAAAAACGAGGAAAGGCAGAGGCCCCCAAATGCCATGGTACGGCCGAGAGTGGGGAGAGTCACCTCTCCCTCTCGAAATACTCTCACATGGCCAGAGAATATATAGCCTCTGTCAGGGAAGTCCTACTCACTGCCTTCTCGTGGCGGGGTTGTTTACGAAAGTGAGAGGACGAAAAGCGAATGTCCGGCGCTTTAACCGGGTTGGTGGACATGGAGGGTCCACCTAGGGGAGTTGGAAAACCCTGATTCCAAACCAGTGGTGCACATGGGCTCCGGTATCCTCAAGGAACAAATGGCGTACGAATCAACCGTTGATCATCGGCTACCATGGGACTGCATCTCTTCACGATGCTCCACTGCCTTGTGGATCAGATCTTTCGGTCAAAGGCTCCGGGTGTGGCCCCCTAAGAAAACCACCTGCTTCAGTTCGGGCACCTGGGCAGTATCACAGCCCTCACACAAATCAAATGAGATTTGTGAGGCGCATATGTATCTGGTGCTTCCTTGTACCAATATTTATGTGTTTAAATAAATAAATAATAATAAATAGAGTAAGGTAAATAATCAGTAAACCTGAGTCGTTAGAATAGCCTTGAACTTTGTTACCTAACACATCAAGCCAGTTAGTTAACAGTTTAATGGACCGATGTTACGCGTTGGTTTGGTTGACTCTAGCCATTACGTAACCTACTCCTTTAATAATCACCGTTTAGTTTTTAATTACTGTCTTTAAGGACTTCTAGAATCAGCGTGCTACGTTTCGGTGTTCTGTATTCGCTTTAGGTTTATTACAGACCTCTCGAATTCTGTAGGTCTATCGACAAGGTAAACTGACAACTCTAAAGTAACAACCATACTTACCTAACTTACGTTGTCCTCGATTGCGCTGGTACGGTCGAGGTGAGGAAAGTCAGCTCTCCCTTTCGAAATGCTCCCACACGGCCACGCGTATACAGTTACTACCAGAGAAGTCCTATTCACTGTCTTCTTGCAGCATCGTTGTTGTTTACGAAATTGAGAGGAAGTAAAGCGAATGTACGGTTCTTAAATCGGTTCGGTGAGTACGGAGGATCCATCTAGAGAAGTTGGAAAACCCTGATGGCTAAAATACTACCCAAGTGTCTAAACTGAGGCAGGTGGTTTTCTTAGGGAGCCACTATGCGAGCCTTTGGCCTAGAGGTCTAATCCACAAAACACTAGAGCAACATTAGGGGATGCAGTCCTATTGTAGCCGGTTATCAACAATAGGTTCATACACCATTTGTTCCCTCAGGATCGTGGAGCCCATGTGTACTATTGGTATGGAATCAGGGTTTTCCAACTTCCCTAGATGGATCCTCCGTACTCACCAAACCGATTTAAGAACCGTACATTCGCTTTCGTCCTCTCAATTTCGTAAACAACAACGATGCTGCAAGAAGACAGTGAATAGGACTTCTCTGGTAGTAACTGTATACGCGTGGCCGTGTGAGAGCATTTCGAAAGGGAGAGCTGACTTTCCTCACCTCGACCGTACAAGGGCATTTGGGTCTTGATATTATGCTGGTTACTACTGAATAATCGGCTACAAAGTTGAATCTAAACAGAATTTAATTTAGTATAATTTAAGCCAGTCAGTCAGCTATAACGTAGGACCAGGAACATATACGCGTCGGCCCTAGTTGCCATACCTCATTAGCACAAAAAAGATCAACACCGAATTCATAGAAGTAGTTAATTTAATGGTGGTAACATATAAAAAAAACATTGTATATAAGGACAAAGTACAAGAAGAAAGAAGTCACATGGAGCTGTAATTCACATCCCATTTAGAGCTCATCTTACAGAATGTACGTACCAGTCAGTTACAGGGAGGCAGTAGCTTCAGAAGAGTCCTAACTCATAGGGTGCATGATTTCAAATGTATTGTTCAGTGTTTTTATTTGGGTTTCACTTCAGATATGCTCTAGGGAGCCAAGCATTCCCTATTTGGCTTTCCATCAGTTGACATCCTATATGAAGAATACCTCGGATTGGAAGTTAAAGATGTCTTCTGAAGACTCTAGGTGGCATCGCAAGAATGTCCGATGTATGCTTAACCTATTCAGAGTACAAGATGTTTTGGATTCGGTCCGTCAATGTTTAGTTTGAATCTATGGAGAGTAGCCGAGGGTATTGATTTTTGATGTCATATGAACTGCTGTAGGTTGGCGAGTGACCACAACTCCGTACAGATAAAACCCCATTTGTCTATTGACAAACTATAGATTAGGCAGATGATTAAACTACTACCTTGTCGAAAAGCGATTACGCCGTGAAGCACAGTCATTGAGATGTATAGGTTGAACGTATTTGATTTCCCTTCTGAGCATTGCTCGAATGTACCATGTGGAGCGAGTGGCCGAAATTTGTCAGAAGTCTGAGTACTTTAAAGTAGACTTCATTTTAGTGCTTTAGTACTGCTATTGATTGTCTATAAGTGCAAGTGTTATGCAGTACGAGTCAATTATTCCAACTTTTTGAAGACAATAATAGATTCGGATGTAGAGTAGCATCTTAGTATCTAAAACAAACAACTTTTGATCTGTGAGCAGCAGGTTTCAACATCAGTCTACTAATTTTAGTTTGGGTAAGTGGCTGGTACCCACCTTAATGTACTGGTTAAGAGTGCATAATACTAACTAGCGAATAGTGTCTAAGACGGAGTGTAGGAAGCTGCTCTAAACTGTTATTAGATTGCCAACAAACAAGAGATACATGGTTTCATGAATTTCTTCAGTGTTTACAACTTCGAGGAACCCTCATAAGGCGAATTCACTAGTGATAGGCAAAAGCAGTACATACTGATGAATTCGAAGAGGACTGGTGGTTTGGAGCTATGGTGAAATATGACTCAGAAATTCGTTTAACAGAATGCATATGAGTTTGTTCTGATTGAGAAGGGAAGTCCTTACAGTGTTCAGCCAGAAGAGCTAATCACATCATAAGCTCATGTTTTGATTTATCTTACTGCCCCAAATCAGTAGTGGGGAATGTTTATATAATAAGGAGTAAGCATATAACGTTGATAAACGGACAAACCCGGTTTGAATACTCCGGAAAGACCGCCTCTGGAATAAAATAAATTGTCCGCGACGTCGTGGAGCAATTAAAACGACACTGAAAAAGGATTTATATAAATTAGATCCAAAATTCATAGAACAAAATCTACCAAACAGTTCATTTCAGCAAATCGCATGTTTTTGTGTCAATTTAGAATTATATATTGGCCACTCATATAACGATTCTGTTAGTGTGAAGTTATTTTCACTAGATTCGTTTGCATGCTATACATAGTGATTATGAATTGCCTTAAAACCATTGAAGAGCAGTTGTCTATGTCGGAAAATGCAGCACTTGCATCACCTGAACTTTCTGAAAGACATTCTGTGGATTATGATGGACCTCTAAATATATTTTACACATGCGATTGTGAACTTAAAAGCGTTCTTGTTAATTTTAGGAATGCGGTGATATGTCGATCAACGAAGCCTCAAGTCATAAAGGGCACATCTTCACTCCTTGTTTTCAAACGTCTACCTTCAAACGTAGACCACGATTCCTTCCGGTAAGTTGATAGTTTACTATGCACCTACTTGTTTACTAACTAAAATAAATGGTGTATTCACGAAAGATATTGTGTTACTAATTTAGTTCTTATATCTTCAGAAAATTTATGTGAGTGACTGTACTGTGAAAATATATCATAAGACTAATTTAAGCTAGAATTTAAAGGATATTACTGCAAATTATGTCAGTAGTTGATCAGCTAAATCTTAACAAGCGCACAATTTATTTTAATATTGTCAAAGTGATTAAATACTAACTGAATGAAAACTGTGTATAGGAAAAGCTCCTGATAACCATTTTTAGTCACCACTTTTACTTCTTGAGTTTAGTTTGTATAAGAAATGTACGATGTATCTGTTTTCACTTAAAATTACTCATAATTTGAGGATGCGAAAAATATTTACATTTGTCATTATACAATAATTCGTTTCATACTGACTATTCAGATCAACCAGTTTGTCTTTTATTGTAGTTATGGATAAATAAATATTCCTAGATAATGTTATACGTGGGTTCGAAAATAGTTCATGTTTTTCATCATAAAAAAATTATAAATAGGGAGACGAAACGACCGTCTAGTGCGTCCAGGTTTTTCATGGTGGTCTAGCTTCAATTGACTTATGATCTCAACTGTATAAAATAAATTATAGTCTTAATAATAAATACTGAATACTGAATGCAATGTTGAATGAAGATTTTGCTGAACAAATACAAAATAATATTATACTGCATAAATTTCACACTGAATTATACTATGATCTCATATTTTATCTTGTTATGACCTGACGAAATAGGCGAGATGAACTAGATGAAATCAAGGTTGTTTATCACTGATGACAGTTTCAGTACATTTTAGAATTATATAATCCCCTGACGAGAACATATCTTAAAGGAGGTTAATATTTATGCCTTTCATTTTAATGATTTAGTTGAAACTTAGGAACTAGATTTTACTTTTAGTGTTGATTATGTTGATTACTAACGTTACATCTGAGTTATTTAAAACATCAGATTAGTGACTAGCCATTTTCATAATTTTAAAAGGGGTCTAATAACCTAAATATTCACTTTTGTTTTGACGATATATGATCAACAGTTGTGATGTGTTAGTGTGATATTTTGAAGTATATGAATTATAGTACAAACTAGGATTCCCAGAAATAATGCAGATTAACCAAGAAGAACTACATGAGCACGAACAAACGTATTGTATTTGGAATTTGAAATCAGGCAGTCATCAAATACGAAGGAATCATTAGTTCATGCAGACACTACAGATAGAAAAAAAAGTAAAACATTCATCTCTAGTGCCCCTTTTATTTTATGAATAAGATTCAAACTCGTCTCGATTCGAACTAACAATAGTAATCACGGTATTTAAAAGACATTTATTATATCTTTGACTTGACAGAAAAAGACATGAGAGATGGTTCTATAAATTTTTATACCACTCTTGTTTTAGTGATTTTATTTATTTTCTTTAAGAAGTTTATTTGGCTAGGCTATAATCTATTGACGAACTAATCACATTTAAGATAGTAGATCTTGGATTTTGGTTAGAAATTCACTCACTCATTTGGCTAAATACTATTTTGGCATTATAACTGATGTCAGTTCGTAATGAAAACATTAAATCTAATTCCTGACCCTAACATTCAGCTGTAAATCCTAATCCTAATTCCTTACACTAATATATAACCCTCTCTGACTCTGGTTAGTAAGCGGACTTTCCAAGGTCATTTTAGCTCTGCTCAAAGATTGTCCATAAATTATAGTCTTACCGTTTATTCTTTCAAGTTTGGGCTATTTACAGCTTTGGAAAATGTGCTCATATTGTCTTGGCATTAATTACTACTGTAGTGGATGAGAACACAAGGGGGTCGATCGAATGTACTGAAACACAAAATTACAGAATCTCTTAGTAAAATCAGAGAAACATACAGTAAATTTTTCATTTGTAAAATATCAATCAATTGTCTCAAACTTGACTGTTCCTTCTTTTCCACACCGCTAACTCTCTGTTCTCGTTCTCTTCTCTTCGATTTTCTTAACATTCTCCCTCCAGGTATCCCACTTTCGACTGACGATACATACTACTTATATCTATGGACACAAGTAGCACACCACACTACCTCTTATCAATTATGATTAATTATACAATGTACATCATTTTTATCAATAATTAACAAATGTAGTTTGCATAATTTTCACCAAGTAGATCATCATTTGTGAACACTAGTGAACTAGTATTAGTCCCAATACTACAAATATCCTCCGCATTTCAATTCCTCATGGTACTACTACAGAATTAAATAGCTTTTTTAATTTTATATAGTTAAGATCATGAGTCAATTGAAGCTAGACCACCATGGAAAACATGGAAGCACTGAACGGCTGTTTCGTCCTATTATGGGACTCCTGAGCAGTGCGCATCCACGATCCCGCCTCATGAGATTCGAATCCAGGATCTACCAGTCTCGCGCCAGAGCACTTAACCGATAGACCACTGAACCGGCATCCAGATCTATTTCATTTATTAATTCAGAATTAAATTATACAGTGTTGCCGGTATTCGAATTCATACGTTACACATACTAATATAAGTCGAATAAATATTTGACAGATGGATTTAAAAACGTAACTAGGATTAAACAGTTTTGTACAGTTTGATTCTATAGGTGACAAATGTTTCTAAACTACACTATATATCATCCTATATATGAATATTTTTAAAATACTTATACAAAGTGATATTTTTGAAGGAATATTAAGTACAACCGTTACTATTATTTAGTCATTCAGCCAGTCATGAGTGACTAGAAAGAATAATACTATTGCTTGTATTATGAAATTAAGCAAAAGGTGTATGATACAAAAAGTTCAAGTGAAATGAATGAATGAAAAGTATTGGATAGTGATAAGCTGAAGATTTAAGAGAAGATAAAAAAAAGTATTAGAGGTACCTAAATAGCTGTTACTAATTTCGGATTGTATCACAAAATGTCTTCAGTCAAGTCGGTATATGTTGGGATGACCCTGCATTTTTCTCGCAAGCAACATGACAAGCTCGTGAGTCATCAAGGAGCATTTCAACCAATCAGCGATTAATTACAATAATGCAATGAGAAGACGAAGTTTATCAGAATTATGTGATATATTAGCGCAATACATTTCGAAATGTATTGCGCTAATTTCGTCTTCTCATTGCATTATCGAAATTTATCAAAGGGACTAATTGTTTTAGATTAATTACAAGTTGTGTGAAGTTATGTTACTAAAATAACGAGATCCTGATTGGCTGATTAACACGCTGCTACTATGTTTAGCAGTATTCTAGAATTTTCGGTAAAACTCAAGGACTATTAAATTACTATAAAATCCCCATATTTTCTGTACATAAAGGAAACTTGCAGTAAAGTGTTTCCCTCACACTTTGTACCTTTTCTCTGGTCTTCAAGTCTGTGTATAGTTCTAGCTCGCGGGTATGGAACTAGCTTAGGGAAGCGAATATAGCATTCACAGTCGGCCAGACGTAACAGTATACAATTCAGAATTAACTCCAAACATAGAACAAATATGCGTAGGCCTACGTTATCAAACTGAAATAGCTTATCAAAACAAAATTGACAGAATGAATAACAACGGATTCAAAATAATGACGTCGGTAATAATAGTAAAAAGGATGAAACATTGAGAATATAGTTTGAAAAATGGAGCGAATTCGTGTAATAAAAGTATGGAGAAATATTATAATTATGTATGTAAGGGGATGTAGCGAAATTAAATTACTTGTCAAACTACATGTGACTCTGTATCCTGACACCCAGAGTTCCTAACGACTGTTAAGAATTAATACCAATAACATATTTAAACTATTGAATAGAACACTATTAGACAGTTTCTAACTCCATGGACTCAGTTCATTCGAATATTTAGCGAATTCACAGATTCATGTTACATTCCAATTTTATTTAGTTTTATCTTTTTACTCACCTTACGCTTATGTTAGGCCAGCATTGAGTTTTAAGATTATAAGTAGTTAGGTCTGGATAATATTTATCCCAATTGAGTTGAATATTATTTTTATTATTACTGTGGTGTATATTACTTACGTCAACATAAGTAGTATATAACACTAGTTAGAAGGGGAACGCCTAGTATCAGAAGGTTTAGAAGATCGAGTCTAATGGAACGGAAAGAGAGGGTAATTGTTGTGTCAACAATGGAACGATGATGTTTAAGATGAGTGATGGATTATTTGCAGAATGTAGTATTTTATGTATGGTTCATATATTTTACCAAAATACTCTAATAATTTGTATTATAACGCTTTTAATTGTCTCTCACCTATGTTCTACTTCATTACATTACTACCACTACTACTCACGCTACTACATAGTTTACTATTATAAGAATAGAAACTCCTGACAACTTGTATTAGTTTCATAAACTCGATTGTATTAAATAATCGTAGTTGAAATTTCTGGGAAAGTTTGACATACTACTATGAAAAAAAAGTTTGTATCTATTTAGGTTTACGTTTTGTCTGTTCAATTTTAAAAAAAAAACACTTTTTACATTTTTGACAAGATTAAATTATGTTATTACAATAATGATAATAATAAGGGATAATAATAGTAATAACAATAATAGTAGACCTTAGTTACATTGAAAGTAGAAGTATGAGATTGTTTCTGGTGCGCTGGTGACATTTTTTTTCGTATAAAAAGTATCGTAAAAGTTGATTCGCTTTCAGGATAGATTGAAATTGTCAACTACTTTTACATCATAAATAGTTATGTAATAAAAAAAATGCAAATTGCTTATTATTATTATTATTATTAGTAGTAGTAGTGTTATGACGTATAAGCCCGTAATTTATATGGACGTTTAATTGGAGAGGAATGAATTTATTAATCGGAAGCAAATGATACTTGAATTTGTACGAGCAGTCTTGAGTGCTAACCGGTCTTGCGATCTGCCTAGCCCAGCCCGTTA